TTAAGGCTATACGTGGTTTTGCCGGGCAAGGGGGAGTGGGCGAAGATTTAAAAGACGCCTTGGTACCGGGACGCGAACTCATGACTATTTTTGTACCAATTATCATATATCAGGTTGATGCTTCCTCCACCCCTACCCGTTCTCCCACCACTACCCATCTTCCCCCACTCTTTAGCTGAGTTTAGCCTCACTAAAGTCCTCTTTAAATGGTGTTAATAAAAACAAACTCTATTTTTATTTAAAGTAAATTTTGTCCTAGTTTACAGTGAATCACTCGTCAATTACTAAAATTATTTTTTTTTTTGTTATCACTTCCTATTCAACAAGAAACGTTAATTAGATAAAAAATCAAAAAACTTTTATTGCCTACTTTTCTGCTAAAAATTGAACCATTGTTTATGTAAACTTTTTTGTATTTATTGAGTTCTGCTATCATTCCTTTAAATATTTCCCTACACTTACGAGACACTCTATATATATATAGGCTTAGACATGTAAAAAACTAAATTGATAACACGGGTCACCAAGAGAAAACTTTTTACAGCCAAAAATCCAGATTTATCTGATCTTTTTTTTTTCATGTATTACTACTAAACAGTGCATTAAAGCGAAAACCATATTCTTCAAGACATTAAAGAACGTCAAATTTTGAGTCGAACGAATACCTAAACTTAATAATTTGATTAGGTGATATGATCGATAACCACGGTCAATGAACGCTAATTTTACCGACATTATCGAAATTTGAGAAAGATTACTATAAATGGGCCTGCAACTTGGAAATAAGTTCTCTAAGAAAAAAAAAACTCAAATTGATTTCCGATTCCGATCATAATCAGATTCCAATAAAATCAGAGACTAAATAATTAGCACCTTCCTTCATGAAAACGATCCCAACAGCAGCTATTTTAAGAAAAGAAAAATACTTTCTGATGAGAAATATACAAATTATTATCGTGACCAGTTTTATGAATCGCATGGAGTTGCTGGATGTTGCAACGCGCCCAGATTTATAGGAACTGAATAAAAACTGGGTCCGAGAGAAAATCCGTATTTTCTTGTGCTCGAATAAAATGTTTGAAAGAATAAATGAAGTTCATGAACTTCATTTTTTAAAAATTAATTTTCCTCCATCATGTATTTCACCTGCGAGACTCAGTTCGGAGTCAATAGGAACAAACTGCGACAGTAACACAAGCCTTCGCATCTCACGGCGACCCAAAAACTACATCACTCTTTTCTTTAAATAGATGTTTTTTGTAACTTTTTTTGAAATTTTTTTCCACCATCCAAGGGAGGGCACGCCCCCAGACAGAATTCGCTTGTGCCGGTGACGATAATATATATTTTTTTATATTACATTAAGAAATTCCTGTATAAGGATGAATTTTACCTATATTTCTCTTTTCTTTAATTAGGTGTTTTTTGGATTTTTTTTTTCCACCATCCAAGGGAAGGCGCGCCTGGTAGAATTCGCTAGTGTGCAGGTCAAGATAATTTTTTTTTTTTTTTTTTTTATAATACATTAGGAATTTCGTGAATGAGGATGGATTTTCCGTATATGAATAGGTGTTTTATGTCACTTTTTTCGGAATTATTATCCACCACCTAAGGGTGAATTTTCCCTACATTTCTCTTTTCTTTAAATAGCTGCTTTTTGGACATTTTTTTCAGCCTACAGAGGGAGGGGAGGAGGGCGCTTCCGTCTGGATCCGCTAGTGTATTGGTCTCGAACACAGATGGAAAAAATCATAATCAATGATTACAACTGAAAATAAAACTTAATCACCACGCCAATTTTATACTTGATACAATAGCTCAATAAATATAGCAAAAGTATGAAATGATTACCTGATTATCTGGCTATAATAGTAATCATAAACCTGATTACGATTATAATCATGTAATCGCGTAATCAAAATCACTGTTTTCGTAATCACGTAATCATAATCACAGTAATCGTAATCACGTAATCAACATCACAGTAATCGTAATCACGTAATCAACATCACTGTAATCGTAATCACATAATTTTAATCGCTTAATCGTACTCAAAAATCAAATACACGCAATTTGATTTGGTTTAGAGATAGCTAAAAGTAAAACGAGTATAACATATTTTCTATTTCATTTTAGTTGTCGGAAACACTTTTTATGAAAATACTGTCGGATTTAAGGTTGCACGATTGCACATTCAGTTTTTTCATTTCCTTTTACGAATTTCCATTCTCTTTTTCTCTTTTACCTCGCGAATAAAGGATCAGTTTTTCACCATTCCAACAGTTTTTTGGCTCTATAAAACTGGCGAAAACGGAGAACTGGTATAGAATATTTTCCGCATTTGCTTTCGCTTTTCTCATCCTTTTAATTTTCTGGCTATGAAAAGGAAGGCGGAAATGGTGTAAACGGTAATGGATGATGAAATGTTGATTACTCTTCTATAAGTTTTCTACACATGTATTGTAGGTAACATTCGTTTAAGTTAACCATTTTAATGCTACATTAATTTTCTTATAAGTAAATATTCTCAAATTTATTCATGAGAATAACTATTCGTCTATAACGAATTAATATTTATCTCTCCCTAAATTTAAAGAATACGTTTGAGCAATATTTATTTATACGAAAATTATTTTAGAATTAAAATTGGTTAAAAATGGTTAAATTAGACGAATGTTACCAACAGTACATGCGTAGAAAACTTATAGATGGCTAATCAAAATTTCATCATCCAATACCGATTACACCATTTTCACATTTCCGCTTACCTTTACATAGCAGGAAAATTGTTGGAATCGTGATAAACCGATCGTTTATTCTCGAGATAAAAAAAGAAAAGTGAATGAAAATTCAGAAACATGTTTACACCATTTTCTCATTTTCCTCTACCTCTACATTACTGAAAATGTTTGGAAGGATGAGAAACCGATCATTCGTTCAGAAGATAAAAGAGGAAAAGTGAAAGAAAATCTATAAAATTATCAACACCACTTTCACTTACCTCTACGTAGTCGGAAAACTTTTGGACGAAAAAACGAGCTTTCATTCACGAGATAAAAGAGGAAAAGCGAATGAAGATTCGGAAAATTTTAAATGCTAAGCAGATACTATTAACATAAAAAGAGCTCCCGACTACTAAAAGAAAATAGAAAATGTTTTATACTGGCTTGCGTTTCAGACTACCTCTAAACAGAGGAAAACCGTGTGTGTTTGATTTTTACTTTCACTAACCTATAAATGAAATATATATTAAAGGAAAGTATTGTGATCGTGAAAATGTTCAAATCTTAATTTTCAACGGAAATACATGTTGAGTCCTCTGAAAATGAGTTCCTCTGAGTTCAACTAACCAAGTATCGCAAAATCGTCTGTGTGTGTGTTAGCTTCCCTCTGAAGTACCTTAATTTTTTTTATTTGTAATTATTAACAATTTCACATTAATCTTTGATATACAAAATAGTGAAATATAAAATATGAAAGAATTTGATAATTAACTAAAGGAGAAATAAGAGATCGTAATAGAGAATAATTGTAATGGAGGAACCAAAGGAATACGAGCGTGCCCGAGATTGCTCAAAAGATTTTTTATTATAATCACAATCGTAATCGTAATCATAATCGTTGATTATGATTATGACCATCTATCTGTCTATCTTAAAAACAAAAACAGACCAATTTTCAAGTTTTTAAGAAGCTTTGTTTTATGTTTAGATTGAATCCAAAACAGAAACAAAATATACAGATTTTCAATGAAAAATCAAATAATTGTTCCCAGAGAACAAAAGGGCACGGCAAAGTTTACTACTCTCCGAGGTTAGAACTACCCTCCCCGTGATTCGAGACATCAAGGTCAACAAAAATATTCTGATTTTATCATTTTAATTTCCAAAATTTACACTTTTTGACTGTTCCTCCACAAGAATTTCAAGCATCCTAAACCACTTCCGTGGGGATCCCTGTATCTAGATTACATAATGAACGTCTTATGTTATAATTCCATTTCTTTATTCAAATTGAAGATTGAATGGAATTCTGTAATAAATTGTTTTTCCTAAAAAATTACAGTGCCACAGTTCATTGATTATACTTCAATTAAAGTTATTTATTACTAAAAATGGCCCAAGATTTTGAGGAAAATATTTAAGTTTTGTTTAATGGTAGGCAAAGATTAAAGCCAAGACGTACCAAATTACGTTACACTATTACCAATATACACTGACAGGCAAAAAATTCCACCCACTTGTAAAAAAAGTTGTATTTGTATATAATACATAGTGTTTGTAGATAATACTTAGTATTTATAGAATTTTATAATCTTTTTTACCTTTAATAATCAAAAAGTGACTGGGTATTGTTCTGTTGAAGGAACGTCTGCACTATGCGGGCGACATGTTGAAAACAAACAAAAAGATTACCTATTTATTCATTAAAAACAATAGACGAATCCAAAGCAGAAATATTTTTAGATGAAAACATGAAAAACTCAAGTGGGTGGAATTTTTTGCCTGTCAGTGTATGTACATCCATCACATGTACATTCAAGCCTATGAATATTTATTCTTCACCATCCTTGCAAATTTAAGATATAATTTTATGATGTAAGAGTTTTGTTCAAAGTTTTCTCAGTTTTATTGTTCTTGAAAAACATTTCTCAAAGCAATTTGGTCCCTAATCACGTCAATATGACGTAACAAGCTATCCATCGAGGTATAAGAATAGTATTTTGTCAAATGTTATGATTAATTAGTTTTGTTGGTTTAAGAATTTACATGTATAGATAATTAATTGTTTGTTGTTGTAGGTTATCATAGCCATAAGACTCTTCCTAATTACAAACAATCTTTAGTCCATCTGTTAAGCAGTGGCACATGTGCTTTGTGATGGGGTAGTGCTGTTGCTTTCCTCTAAAAATAACCTGCAATAATATGTGTTTGAACCTTCACGATTTTTAGACAAGGAGCATGAGTGTTGTAAAATGTAGATGAATATTGTTGTAAACAATGGCTGTAGATTTCCTAAGTCAGTTGGAGTCAGCAGCAAAAATTATGCTGGTAATTTTATTCGATTTATAATAGTTTCATTTGTGACTAAAAATAATATTTTCATGACTATCCTTTTTAAATACAAGGAGAATCGTTTTAATATATTGTGAAAATTCTTGTCGCTAGTTCGTTTTTAATATTCATGTAATACTTAATTTCTTTTTTTTTTCAAAGAGCATAAAACTATTTTGTGGTACCATTTTTGGTTTTTGAAGACAAAGTATCAAGTGTAATTTGCAATGAAGCTTTACTATAATAGGGTATATTGGGTGAATAGAAATGAAATTTTTTTGCTTTCAATTTTCCAGGCTCCACCTCAATACATCACTGGTGAACAAAGAAATGCAGCTGAAGCAGTTTTTATGAATTTCCGAAAAACAAAAACACCCTATGGCTTGTGCAAACATATATTTGGTAAATATGACTTATAACCACTTAATACATTATTTTTTATAATTAATGGACTAGTAGCAACCTGCCTACAATTAAAACAGCTTGTTTATCCTATTATAAATGTTACAACTATAAATTAATGTGTGATGTGAGTAAAGAAAATAATATTACTTTCCTTTATCTTGATAATGTTTACCTTAACTATATTATGTACCACTTGACAATTATCTCTCCAACATGATGGTTAGGTACATGATCACACTGTAGCTGAAATCCCTTTATTAGCACTTATTGACAACCATGTTAACGATACTTAACTACTTTGCTGTATTTGCGAGTAAAGACTTATTCAAAATACATATGTAAACAAATCCCCTCACCTGTCTTGAGATCAGAGTATTAATTATCTTTATTTATCATGATGGAGTGGTGTAGCTCAGTAGGAAGTAGGCTATTCAGCTTCCTATGCTCAAAGTCCCAGGTTTGAATCCCGATTTATGGCAGAAAAATTATTTATTCTGTTTCATTAGCCGTCGGGCGACCCTGGAGATGGGAGGCCCTCCTGGGGCACTCCGAGCATCTATTAATTGGGCACTCTTAATTAAATAATTGATTAAGGGGGAAAACCTGGGGGTTGAGCGTGATCTTGGTCAAATTGCCTCTTCCGTTGACTAAGAAACAGTACTGTACCCAAGACTCTTCATGGATTGTAGTGGTACAGGTTTTTTTTTTATTTTGGTTAATCATGGCAAATCCTAATCCTTTAAAATCTGTTTAAAAAAAAAATGCCCAATGGACACTTTTAAGTTGATGTCGAAGCCTTTCTCAGAAATGCATCTGCAGTATGATTTCTCCTCCATCTGTCATGTTGGAGTGACCCTTGTGAAGTAGTATAGTTATATCGGAAGATGCCATGTATCAAATGTACTAAATAAAGTAATTTGATAATGGTTTTAATTCTTTTATTTTAGAGATTTTATGTTGTTATTTTAGATTCTTTTCTTATTTTCATATTCCAATTATTATACCGTACAATCACTGCTTGCTTTAATTATTCTATTCCGTCCTATTAATATTTTTTCATATGATATCTACTAATTCTTCATGGCTCACATTTAGCCTCTAAAAAGTTGATTCCTGAGCCTAATCCGTAGTGGTTGAATGTGATCCTTGCCAGATCACTTCCTTGAATAGACATTGATTGAGAAACAATATTACATAATAAAAGGTTTTGGCTGTATTTGTGCCACCATTTTTCTTTTTTTATTACACTGGCAAGCAATGGAATAAATATAGCCAGCAACATTATGAATCATCATAATTTCACCTTAAACTATTATATGTAGAAACAATATTTCCTTACGAAAAAAATGTTTTTGAGTTGAAAATGTTTGAAATTTTTGTATACTAATGTGCTAATTTATGATGTCTTAAACATGGTTTTATTTTGTTTTTTGAATGAGATAATTATTTTAAATAATGAATATGTCAATTGTGAGAAGCCAACAGAACAATAAATTAAAATTGAATTGTTATTCATTATTTATTTGATTAACGTCCAATATTAATTATGTTACGAATAGAAAAATCCAAAGAACGAAGCCATAAGTTTCCAAACACACAGGCGAATAGCCAACTTGCCAACGCTTCGCCAATTCAGGTATCATCAGGGCAGAAAAACCAAATCAAAACTTGTTTTTTCTGACCTGATGAAGCCTGAATTGGCGAAGCGTTGGCAAGTAGGCTATTTGCTTTTGTGTTTGGAAACTCATGGCTTTATTGTTTGGATTTTTCCATTTGTAACATGATTGCCTTGTGTCTCTTTTCTGGCTTTGTGATACTGATGCTAACTAATGGGTAGAGATTTGATAATTTGTCAGGATTCAACATTTTTAATAAAAAATTGACTTGTCTACATGAGATGCCCACATAATAATAATTTTTCATAAGTGGAGATATTGACTTTTGTAAGAATGCTCCTTATTGTAAGAAGTCTACTCATTAACATTTTTACTTCATACAAATAATAGAATTTATGAATTCGGTTAATGATTTGTCTTTAATCTTGATCATTTTATTTATTACTTTATGTTTTTATGTATTGTTCAGTTTTTTTCATTTATTATTATTATTGATTTTTTCAGAATCAAGCACAGTTGATTATGTGATTTTCGAAACTGCGAGTACTTTAAAAGAGGCTCTCATAAGAGAATGGAAGGATCTGAGTGAATCAGAATTATTAGAATTGCGTCAATACCTTTTAGAGTATACGATGCAAAAGCCCACTTTAGCACCTTTTGTTCGAGAAAGGATCCTCCAAGTACTCATTTGATTCTTTCAATTTGTTTTACTACTTGATGTGTTATAAATTCTATACTGTGAATTTATATATTTTTTAGGTAATAGCCATTATGGTTAAAAGAGGAAGTGTTAATGATTATGGTATTGAAAGGGGGAAAATTCTTCATGATGTTGAACAATTGATAATGAGTGGTGATCTTCCTAGGGTAAGTTTTTATTATTTAGCAAACCATACTTTACTATAAATAGGGCAAGATCTCAAACTCTGTGCTGACCTCACTAATAGAATCGTATAGACGGATCCGATGCCATTGATGAGCACTGGAATGATTTTAGGGACTTGTCCATCAATTCTATGTTTATATTTAGTATTCAGAAAGTTATAAGAGTATTTTAATATATGTTTATTTTTAAAAGATCTATAGATTTAATTGATCCTTGACTGAATATGTATTACAAACTTATTAGAACATAATTAAATATCGGTGCCGATTTTTGTTTTATGCAGTGACTATCGCATACTTACTTCACTTACTAATAAACCTGATTTAGTGATTCAATTAACTTTTTCTGTCTCTGGAATAAAACAACTAATGAATCAATAAAATTTTTAAAAATAAGTAATTTTTGTATTGTTTTTGAGTTTTAATAAAATTCTATATAGTATAATCAAATTATTCTCTGAGCTCCTCTTATATATATTCATTTATCAAAAGTAGGGTGATGTGATTTTATTTGGTATAATTTTTTAATTGAACACTTTACTGTGTATTTTTATATGTTTTTTTTTTTTGTTTTTGTTTTTTAGCAAGTTTTAGGTTGTAGTATAATATCATCCTTGATGATTGAATATGGAAATACAGTGAAATCCTCAGATGTTGGTCTTACTTGGGAAACACACTTCAAGGCTAAAAAACAATTTGAGGTAAGATTAAAATTTTGTATGAGCGTTCGTCTTTATTTTATATTAGTGTCTTTTCTCTCTTTGTTGTTATGGATATGTACTTATCTAAATTGTATTCCTTTGTAAATTTTCAATGTGCCCCTCTCTGGGAATGGTGTTGTCTTGCCCTTATAGCAGGACACTGATTGCTTCGAGGACCTCTGCATTTTTAAGTTATTGTTTGAATAAATGCTTATTTTAAAAAATTAAAAATTATCATGCATAGCTTACCAGGTATTTTGAAGTGGCTTGCCAGATGTGTGACTTAACTCCTCAGAACTTTTATGTCCTGTGGAAATTGACAATAGTATATTATGAACATATCGAGACAAGAGACCATTTACTTGAAAGAATAATTCGAAAATGTAAAAAAAAGAAAATAAAGGAGCCGGAGGTCCTTGCAGTATATCGTGCCATGTTGAAAAGGTCAAGGGAATGAATACCTTGCTCCATCTGACCAAATCCCAGCTGATTCTGTAGCAAGCCATTACTTGATTCACATAGACTTAAAGCTTATCAAGTAAAGATGTTTTTTTAAAGTTGGAAATCTGTAGTTCAAGTTTGAGACTGATTAAAAAGTTGAAAATAACAATGATTGTAGTGAGCAGTGTAATACAGCCACTCTTTTAGATTTTTATAAAAGATAAATACTTGACCTTTTTAAAGAATATTTTTTCTTTTACGATTATTATGATGATAATAATAATAATATTATATTATTACAATTAGTACGGTCATATGATCATCCTCTCATTTACGATGCTCTAATTGGAAATTACGTGATGTAAATAGCTATCACTTCCTATTCAAAGAAAAGCATGGCGACCTTAAAAAAAAACAAAATGTAAATTTACTCCTTCTCTCGTCAGAATTGCATCATGAAATGTATTTTTCTGTTGCAATTAAGGTTTAATTTCACTTCATTATGTTTTGGACATATATGGTATGTTTTGTGTGTTGTCTTATATAAATCACGTTTAGAAGAAAACTAGTATATACTTTCACCTCGGAGAGAAAGATTTAAAAATATTGTTTAGAAGTACTATAAGTTTTCTTTAAATTGTCTAAAGTAAACTGTGTGTTCTTTTAATTGGTGATATTTATTAATATCTTAAAATTTATTAATATTTTTTATATTAAAATTTAAATAATTAATAAAGTACATTATTAAAATTAATAAATCATTAAGGCGCCTTCTGTCAAGATTAGGGATCAGCTGATATCAAAATTTTGGCCAATACTGATATTTTAAAAGCTGATATATCGGCCATTTCGGCTTTTTTTTCTTTTTTTGTCAAGATTTGTATTATAGAATATCCTATTTATTTCCATATAAAAGAATAAATAAACCATCTACTTATCGGTATATAAATGAATTTTGACCAATAAAAGATGGATAAATCTATACATTGGCTCTCACTGAAGCCAACTTCCTGCTCTTCCGAAATTGATTTTTTACAGAAGTTTCTCAAAGGTATCAAGATAATAACAATAACTAATTCATCTTGGAGGTCAATGGAGCTTTTTTCGATAGATTAGACAAATCTTTTTTGTTGCTATTTCAGAAAACAATACTGTTTACATTAAATCAATGTAAACACTGCATTGAATTGAACAGGTTATTGGTGTTTTATTTTTTTTTTCCCATATATGATGTAAATATTGACAAAACTTCAATTTGTTACCATTAAAAATAAAGGTACTTGATTGATTAGATTATACAATTTGAGATTATAAATATGAAAGTATATTTATTTTTCCTTTTTAAGTCTATAATGATTAAATAATTATGCATTGTTTCAGGCAACTGATTTAAAAAAGATACTTCAAGTTTGTGTGAGAGCATTTTCTCAAATTATTGAGCTGCCTACACCATTTGAGCCAAGGAATGTAACACTTCTGAAGCACCTTCTGTCAATATCTGAATCTGTTTTCACTTGGGGATTCATTACTTCAGCTCATATCCTTTTTTTATACTTTAGAAAATTTATTAAAAATATGTTAGTTTTTTTTATATATATAGTTTAGAGGGAGAAAATTAAGTTCTGATTTTGTCAAAAAATTTATCACTAATATATCACTTAAAAAATGTATTACCTACGGTTTCATTATCATATGTTTGTGTGTGAGATTCCCATCCATTTATAATCAGGAATTAAAATGTAATAGAAATTGTTCTTGAGAACAATTACCTGTGTGAGTACTCCTGCTTTAGATTCTCTTTTTTCTCTGTAATAGTTTGAAGTATAAGCGATATTAGGAAAACATTTTTATTTGTATTTGAATTGAAAAAAATCTATCCAACACACAAAAAACTAAATGGTTAAAGCTCCGTACTTGGCCATGATGAAGTTACAATTTACTTAATAAGTAATTTGCTTACTTACTGAAAAATATCTCATACGATCATTTAATGTTTATGTTTAATTAAAAACGTAGTTGGAACAAATAAATAAGTTTTATTTATTTAATATAACGTAAATAATTCATAACAATAAAAATCTTTAGATGTGAATATCTCCTAAACAAAGTGTTTGCAGACATACCTTCATAGGAATTTTTTTTTCTTGTTTCGAGGTCCTTAATTCATATTTTCTATTATTTGCTTTGCCATATTCTTATCTTTTGTCAATACACAAACAAAGAAAAAAATAATAAATTCATCCCCACATATATTATTACAGTAAGGCTCGAAATCGGTTTTGTACCAAATATAAGCTCCTGTCATGCTCAAATACCGTATTCTCCACCTTTGTTTTTCTTTCTAAAATAAATAAAGTCGATACAAACATTTTGCTAGGCTTCAATACTGGAACGGTGGTAGGTCTGTAGATCGAAACGGGACAAATTGGCCTTGAAGATTTTCGTACAGCAAGACCCGGATCCAGCATTTTTAAGCCCAAAATCGTGCTATTTTCAAGAAAACGCAAGGCATAGTTTTTTGAACGGGCCTACTAGTTAATATAAAAAGCCATAAAAACCAGCTCACCTTAAATTTTGTCATTATTTCTTTTCGAACAGAAAACATTTTTTTTTACCTTAATACAGTAAGCTTGTGTAACGGCCTGTGTTCTCATTGGCATTGTGTGAATAAGGTTGGCTACCCGATCTTGAATATGATCCCATTCTATTGTCGACAATTCTATTGGTTCTATGGTCGACAGATGGACATCCCAAAGATGCTTAAATAGGATTGAAGTCTGTGTTGCTAGCCGGCCACTCCAAGGTGTGAACACAAACCTCGTCAAGGTAGTCCTATACATTTTGATGTGCAGCCGAGCATTATCTTGTATAAAAAGTAAATAGAGTGCGATAAATGGGCAAAAAGCATATATGAGCAGTGAGGATCAGCCTTCGGGACACAGGGAGGTCTGTCCTTAACTATAAACATATTCCATTTTACGAAACCAACATCTTACCGTTGTTCAAGCGATTCATCAGCTCGAAGAAGTTCTAGGTGAATAAATTTCTGAACGTACCGCTTGAAGAAGATTAAATGAATATGGATTAATGGCTTTTCGTCCAGTAAGAGGACCAGAGTTGACCAGAACTCACAGAGTAACACGGCTGGCTTTTGCTCGAGAACACAGCCATTGGACTATGGACGAATAGAGTGCTGTACTTTTTATAGATGAGTCAATATTCGCTCTTCGATCTCCAGACGGGTGTGGAGAAGAAGAAACGAAAGATATGTAGCCTGTAATGTTTCCCAGAGCCAACCTTTCCAACGTGGTTCCTTAATGGTGTGGACAAGTGGGTGGAATTTTTTGCCTGTCAGTGTAGTTTGGATTGTCTTTACTATTGAAATATGATTTCAGTGACAGATTTCTATTAACTTTAGAATCTTAGCACTAGTTATTACCTGTTAGCAGCTGAATCTTGATGTTATTATCATTGTTAAGTTATTAATTACTGTTTATTATGTTTTAATCATAAAATTACTTTCTTATTTTCCTTATTATTTTGAATACTGCCCAAGCGTTTGATTGGTGCCTTTGAAGCAGCATTTGAGGCCGAACAGTTCCCATCCTTGAAGTTGACTAATCGATGGAGAGATTTGATTTTAGATCAAAATGTTGTCAATCTTTTCTTTAGCGTAAGTATTGGTAACTTAGAGAAAATTGATATATTTTCAACTTTTAAAGATACAAAAATAGACAAATTCATTTTTAGAGATAGGATATTCTTCCTACAAGAATCGCACTTTGTGTTGTGATAGAAATTAGAAAATTTCTAATTATTTTTTTATTCATTGCCCCTGCTGATCATAAATTCGAGGTGGCTATAGGACCTGAAACTCCTTCTTGTAAGTTCAGAGAACTTTATGAAAAAATCTGGTGTGTCCACTCACACGACTTTCCTACCTATTTCAGAATAGTTTTTATATCTTTACATATGTCCATCAAGAAACCAAAAAAAAATGAAATTAGATTTATTTTTCTGAAAATTGATCAAAGAAAATATTTGAGTACGATTTATTTGATAAACTAAAGCAATGTAAACCGGCTTAAGGCAGATCAGTATAAAAATTTTAATACCCTCTAATATTGCTGATCAAAAGCTTTTTACCATAGTCTAATTTTGTCAAACAATAATTTCTGATAAAAGTAGAGGTAATTGTGATGCGGGCAACCTATTTTCTTACTTTCATTAAGTTATCTTTTTTCTCTCATTCGTGTACCTTTAATCTTATATTGGAAATTGAATAGCTATAACTTCGTTTATAGTTGTCCGAAATGAACGATTTTTATGTAGTTTTGTAAGGAATTTCATTTCCTTTTAAAAAGAAACAACCGAAAATGTGTTTTTCAGACTCAGGGAGCTCTGAAACTTATAGATCCGTCGAATACTTTCGTAATACTTTCCTTACTTAGTATAGGTAGGAAAGTAATGAATTAAAACATGTGTAGAAAGTAGAATACGCTGTATTATTGCTATTACAGGCTCTTCCTCCATTTCTCAAGTATCTATCATCACTTTTATTCCGTCTATAACATTTTTTTTAATCTTATATGAAAGAGTTTTTATTGAAGAAAAATAATACAATCTAGGGCATTGAGCAATGTGGCCCTATGTTTACATTTTATATACAACTCTATAAAATACGGCTGTGTTTTATTATTTCTTCACCATATTATTTTATTTCATCATGCAACAAGCATGATGAAATAAAATGGCTTACTAGCCGAAACGTACCTGATGTAGATTGAAATAAATAAGGTGAAGAAATAATAAAACACAGCCTTATTTTATAGTATTATAAATATTTCACCTAAAACAAATAAGCACATATGAATTTTATTCCGTCCTTATTTATGATACTTTCTTATCTTGTTGACTTCCCTTTCTACCCATCAGTTTCTCTAACTGTGTTCTAAAACTTCGATAATTTTTCTTATAATTATTTTGCATTGATATCCTGAAATCTTCCCGTCCTTTCTCCCTTACTTTCTTAGTCACATGATTTAGCAGTACAGCGTTAGACATATTAGAAAACCTAAGTTATTATACATTTATACGTTAATTAATTATAGAAAAAATTAATTATACTGCAGATCCATTGGAAGATACGTGATATACCGAACTTGGCACACCACTCTCTCAGTTGTTTAGCTCAACTTGCTTCCCTGAATGGCACAATTGTTTCAGAAAAGGAACTTCGCACTCAGTATTTTTCTAATTATATCCAGTGTTTCATCAAACTTGTTTCTAGGTAACGATGAATTATCCAAAACATCTTGATATCCTCTGTTTTTATAATGTTTTACTTTAGAATGAAATATTTTTATCACATTACAGTATAGAAGTTTTAGATAGAGAAGCATTGGGTGTTTCAAATATCATCCGGAATTTGCTCACATATTATCCTCCTAATTTGATGGTGACCCTACCAGACGACTTATTGTATAATTTTCTAGAGCAGGTTACTCGGTTGACTTGTTTCTTTACTGAAGGTGCTGCGCATGAAGAATCAGTAAGAGTTACTCCTAATTGTAAATTATGTTATGTTGTGTTCTTCATTTAATTTTATTCTTAATTTTTACTTTAGATACATTGGGACGATTGTATGTTTATGGAAGCCTGTGAAAATTTATTGAAAGTTTGGATGACAATATTACATGAATCTCAATTATTTTCTGATGTTTTTTGTAAACAGGCTGCAATTCAAATTTTCAATACTTATTTGAAATGTCACCTTTGCCAGCCCGATGGAAACAGGGGCACTGTAGGTATATTCTTTACTTTTTTAATCTTATATTAATTGCTGTAATAATTTACAATAACTTATTTGGTGGAAGTTGACTCTGAATGCAATTGGCTTCACAACAGTTTCTCATTAATTATGTTTATTCTGATACCATGAGAATCAAAGTATTTTCTATTATTTATTGATTTATTACCTTGTTTCTCAAATCTTATGTTGAATTTAGTATTACCAGATATTATTATTTGTTATAATTGTTTATGCACCTTTTAATCATAGAGAGGATCAGTTGTTTTAAAGAAATACACAGTGTTTTTAAGATGATTTTACAGTGTTGACAAAGTTAATTTCAAAGTTCGGCGAAATTCATCTTAATTTCAAATATAAGTATTCTTTGTATTTTTCTGATTTCAGGGTAGAGAGTTAGAAGCAGAAGAAATTGAAGAGACTGAAGAAGATGATAGGGTCAAGTTTAGAGATCAGCTTCAGTCGATTGGTGCACTTGGTAGAAGAGTAATTATTACTTTCAGCTTTTTTTAAATAATTTTTTATAGAAATGTTCTTAGGCCTATCTTACCTTTTATTTTACGCTCATTTATTAGGCAAACATGATAGCATCTTCACTAGCAATCAGATCAATAATATTTCAAAGGATACTGCCAAAGCAAAGCATAGTATACTGTTATCAAAGTTAAAAACATAGTATGTATTATTAAATATGCATACTCATGATTTTTACTTTACAACCAAGTCAGACTTTTATATAAAATCCACTTGCACTTGAATTTGTAAAAACTATGTGTGGGTCCTTCAGTATGGTAACTGTTTTTTAATAATAAAAAAAAATATTGAAATTTCAAGAATACTGCAAAAATGTGTAGTAATAATTTTGTAGTATATTTCTTCACAGTAATTTTGAAATTTAAGTTATTCGCATTTTCATTAATCACATACTACAATTAATTAGAAGATTTTTGAAAATGAGACTTAGCTTGTTTTAATATTAAAGGCTTCTCATATGGTTATTTATATATTAGAAAAAAATTGTTTCGGAGAAGTTGAATATTTAGACAAAATAAATAAATTGAGTTAATTTTTTTAATACTTCTTGATGTTTAGTATTTCTTTAGACAATTTTTCAAAATGAGTATCAATTTTTTTCTGCTTACTCTTCTGAATCTAAATATTATTCATTTTTCAGGTTCCTGAACATTCTATTCCTTTATTAGCTAAGCTATTAGAGAATAGAACCGTTAGTCTCCATGCAAATCTAGAGAGGATACATCAAAATGCCTTCAATATAAGTAACTCAAATAGTCTTACCTATTTATTTGAAGATCTTCATTGGTTAATATTAATTTCAGGTATATAGAACTTAATATATTTTAATATTTCAGCTGTTTTAAAAGTTTACTGAGTTGTTATGTAGTAAACAGCCAATGGCATTATTGAGATCTTATCTTATATTCCAAATGGCTAACATTTTAATTTGTAAGTTTTGATTAGCATTCTAAGATTGATTTCTCTCCCGAATTGATAAAGGATATAGCAAAAGAGCCACTTGTTTTTATAGGGAAATTTTAAAAGGTTTCAAAGCCCAGATTTATAAATCTTTTACCATTCCAGATTGTATACTCAGAAACAATTACATAAATAGGCAAAGAAACAGTTTTTTCCCCGTCTGTTTTTCAACCGATTTTCTTTCTTTGTTTACTAGCTATTGACTGTAATTGTAAATGTTAATTTGTTCAAAACTGCTAATCTCCAAAAGTTCTTCACTGATTGCTTTGAAATGAAAATAACTATAGATAGACTATAGCACTAAAATGGCTGTAACAATTTTAATAAAACTTGGGTAGTCTTATTCATTTATGTATATAACATACTTCCCAGAAAAGTATCAGAAAAAAAGTAATGATGGATTCAAAATTTTACATGCAAATAACTCAATTTTTTTTTCACTAAACCCATCAGCATTATGGTTACGGTTGTTTGATTTGTGTCATTTCATGTAATTTATATAGCCCTAAAGTCCTTCTAATTTTCTTTGGATAGGTGGAGTCGTATTGTCACATAAAGTTATCACACTTTTTTTTATTGCTATGAAAATTCGTTATTGAGAGTTTTTGTTTAAGGTGTAAAATACGAATTTCAACTCTGTCTCTCCTTAGAAAATATTTGTATCCACTTTGCTCCCTCGGTCAGAACATATTGTCTTAAATGTATATTCAATTTCAATGATTTTTTTTTTTTTTCATGGAATTTAGTAATTTTTCAAATAATCATGGGTACAATCACAAAAAAAAAAGAAAATGTATACTTTCTCAGTTATTCGCAAATAAAGCTTCTTTGTCTTCGTAACTTATTTCCTGAAATTTTTGGAGAATGTGACTTTCTCCTCACTTATCCATGAAATTCGCTTTTGTTTGTTACCTCATTCTTCCAAATCTATCACTCCTCATAGCCGAAAAAAATATCTGGTCTGTGAAATACTACCGTACTATATATAAAGATAGATTACAATACAGCATTTAAAGATGGGATTCAATGTTTTAGATAGAGTTAAAATATGGCTTTTCAAGGATAAGTTTTTATATTCTTGAACTTATAGAGATAATATTTTATTCAACGTATGGTGGCCTAATTGAAGAGAATTTCAGATGCAGAAGCCGAGACAGGAATATCTTCCGTACTATAGAGATGCTATTGATTTTAAAGATATTTAAAACGTTCAGTATTATACAATCCAAAAACTTAAGGTTTATATTATATATACAAAACAGTACTTTATTGAGCCATAAAAAAATCTGTTATTTTATGTTGCTTCAGGTTTCTGGTAACTGCTAAGTAAAGCAAAGCAGGAATGGCTCAAAGGGGTCGTGGCTTGTTTTGGCACCTTTCATTAAACCAGGTTAGAGGTTGAAATTCAATTAATAGCGGTAACTTTTGAATGGTAGAGATATATGTAATGTTTTTGTCATAAATCGAATTCTCCGAGTTATAGTGGTATATTGCTCTTTTTTTTTTTTTTTTTTTTTAATTGAAAGGGGGGAGGGAACTGTCAGATTGAACAAAAAATGATCCATTTGTATTTATGTACATTCTATATATAACTTTTTTTGTGTTAAACATTTTCTAGTTATTTTATTTTATTATCATTGACTATAATTTTACCTCATGTAGGGCATGTGGTAGCAATGGAAGGTGAGGGCGAAACTGCACTTATTCCTTCTGAGCTGATGCAGTATAGTATTAGGCAACGTGCGCCCGTAGATATCACCCTCAAAGTTCTTGCTTCTCCAAATCTTCCCATCACTGAAATATCTGGTGCTGTGGATTCAGCTGACCATGTTGTGAGGTAATACATTTAATTGTCATTAAAATTATACCTTAGTTTAATAGTTTTTGTTATAATACAATAAAAGTTAGTTATATCGCTTTCCTGAGTGCCACAGAAAAAAAAATGCTTCTGTTGGAAAATCGGAACAAAACAACTAAAATGAATTTTTAAAATTTAACAGTGAATAAATATAATAACACGTTTAAATCTGCATTGTTAATTTTGTCCTTCTTTATCATTTATCATTAAAAATGAAAATTCACAAAATCTTTTTGTAGTTGTAAATAATGTGTAAATAATAAAATTAAATAAATCTTGGATCATCTTTATTTGAAATTTATCTGTGGATCTCTTTTCTTTTCCTCTTGATTGTTCGGATTACCTGATTTCAGAATACTGAGACTGCACTGTTTTTGTTATGTTTTTAATTGAAAATTTTCTTTTTATTTAGATTGGTTTCTGCAGTTCTGAGGTTGTGTGAAGTAGAAAGGAAAGTAGTAGAAGCAAAACTGACCCAACTTCTCAGCCCTGAAGTTGGTGCTAGTATTCTTTGGTTCTTAAAAATTTGGTCACTGGCTTATCTTTTGCCTAATGAGACCTATTATGCTGAGGTATGTATTGATCTTCTCTTACTTGATTTCATTGATAAGACAATCTCATAATAAGAGAATTTGATATGTTTTAGATGAGCATGCCATTCCTATCAGCATTCGGTCAGCACTCTGAAGGAGCAATGTGGACGGTTAACTATCTTCTCGGAAAAGTAGAATCTAATCTCAGAACATTTAGTTCAGAGCCAACAATAACGGACGGTTCTGTTCAACTTCTGATAGGACTTGTAGATCTGAGAGATAAGTAAGTTTGTTTTTGTTTTTCTTGCTTTACCTTTGATTTTTATATTTAGTTATAAACCACCATTTTTATCTCTTTTACATGGAAAAATTTCTTGAGCATTTAAAAAATAATTTGTATTTTATATAATATAATCTGTATCAATATTTTATATCACCAGAGGAGTAGTGCCAACCCCCATTTTACAAATTATTTATGTAACTGTTCATTTAATTGTACTACTCATTGCTCAAATTTTATAACTTTAATTTACCTTTATTCTGTAGTTCAGATTGTATTATTTTTATCAACATTAAACAAATTTCTTATCAACATAAAACAAATTTTTTTATCCGCTTAAAAAAGAACATTTTCCATACAAATTTTTAGTTCAAAATCTTTATTTTGTATTAGGAGAGTAGGAGGTAGCAGAAGCTCAACAAATATCTACTTAAATGAACAGCTGTATAATTTGTAAAACAATCGCTGAGCTCTGTTATCTCCTACTATCCTAATACTAAAATAAAATAAAATGTGAGTCATTAAAAACTTTTGTATATAATATGGATATGGGCATTTATATTTTAATATAATTTTTAATGTCCAAGACTTTATAATTTCTGAATGATCGTTTTATTAAAGGTGATTTTTAATTTAAAATTTTTTTTTTTTTTTTTTTTATTTCTTTATGACATTTACAACTGTATTGCATAAATACATCAAGTAAATTTGGACATAATTGATATAATGACATGAATACACTTGCTGAGTAACTACCCAATGGTAGCACTCTAATGATATAACTATATTAGGAGATCACGGGGCCATCTTCTTTTCAGACGCCTCGGAGGGTTATCAGGAATTGAAGAGGAAGCAAGGTTAGAAACGAGAGGGTTGGGATGATTCTGAAGTTTATTATGGAAGGATAGGTATCTGGATTGGGCCAGATCTGAAACATAAGGAACATTAAGATCTTTATGGATAATTTTATTAGTGTCAAAGTAAGGAGCATTGAGGATTTTACGAAGGATTTTGGATTGTAAGGATTGGATGCGAGAGGAATTCGATGGTTTAGTGGAGCCCCATAGCTCAACTCCGTAAGTCCAAATAGGTCTTATTATAGTCAAGTATATAAGTCTTTTGTAATTAATGGGAAGTTTAGAGCGTTTGTCTAGTAAGTGCTGAAGTAATCGGAAACGTCGAGCGGTTTCTTGTCGTTTCAGTCTAGTATGAGGATTCCAAGTTAGTCGTTTGTCCAGGTGGAGTCCTAGGTATCGGATTTGCTCAACAGGGATAAGTGGAGTATTGTTAAAGGAAACTGTAGGACAGGAAGTCGTTGGTTTACGACGAAGGGTAAAGGTAATTTGGTGGGATTTATTGGAGTTTATTTTAATTCTCCAGTTTTGACACCATTCTTCTAGATTTATGGTGTGTGATTGAAGCATTTGGGATGCAATTGCTGGGTCATTGTTTACTGATAGGATACATGTGTCATCGGCATATGTGGTGATGACAGTGTTGGGACAGGTAGGGATGTCAGCTGTATAAACTGTATAGAGGATAGGACCTAGGATACTACCTTGAGGAACACCAGCAGACTGGGAAAAAAGGGATGAATAGGCGTTATTGTGATTTACTTTAAAGTATCTATCAGTAAGGTAGGAACGGATAATGAGGAAGTATGTAGGTGGTAGGAATTTTCGGAGTTTGTACAGCAGTCCCGGGTGCCAAACTCTATCAAACGCCTGTTCAACGTCGAGAAAGACTCCCGTACAGTACATTCCGCGCTCCAATGCAGAGGAGACTACGTCTACCACACGATGACATTGCTGTATAGTGGAATGGGAAGTTCGGAAACCAAATTGGTGATCTGGGATTATGTGTTTAGAATTTAGGATAGGGTACAGGCGTTTTAAGATGAGTTTTTCTAGGATTTTGCCCATGATGGGTAAAAGAGAGATAGGACGGTAAGAGGATGGGTATTCTGGTGGTTTTTTGGGTTTGTGGATCATTTTAACAATAGATCGTTTCCAAAGATCAGGAAAATATGTAGAACGGAGTACAGCATTATATATATAAGTAAGGAATAGGATGGCTTTTCGAGGAAGAAGTTTTAGGATCTGGGATGTAATTAGGTCATGTCCAGGAGCTTTACGGGAAGGTAATTTTTGAATGATGTTGGATATTTCTATGGGATGAAATGCTTTGGGTGGCAGGCAGAGACATTTGGAGAGGAATATCCAGTTCTGCTTCAATACAATTGATGTGAGTTGAATTAAGGATATCGGGATGTGGATTAAAAGTTTGGAAAAGATGTTTTCCAAATAGTTGGGCTTTTTCTTCGTCGGATTTGGACCAGGTTTGGGAATCAGTAAGTAGTGGGTGATTAAAGTCTTGAAACTTAAGAAGTTTTTTGGTGGTCATCCATAATGATTTGTCAGTGGTTGTAAGTTTTTCAGTAAAATTTAGTAAGTTTTGAATTTTGTATTTTCTAATTTCTGATTTCAGTTTGTTAGTCAGTTGTGTGTAATGCGATTTATCTGTTGGGTATCTAGTCCTATGCCACTTCGATCTTGCTCTGCGTTTTTCCTGTAATAAGATGCGAATATGCTGTGGCAAGTTAGTATTTTGTGGGAAGTTAATCTTATTGATAAAGGTGTTATTATTTATACTGTCTGTTATTGATGATGTCAGTTTTTCTATCGCACCATTAATGTCTTCTTTTGTTTTTAGCGGGATTTTGAGGTCTAGTTTGTTTTCCAAATCATCACGAAATTTGTCCCAGTTTACTCGTCCAGTGATCAGTTTAGGAAGTGATGGTTTAGGAGCAAAGTCAGAATGTAGTGAAAGCAGAACTGGCCTATGGTCTGAAGAAAGGTCATCCAGGGATTTGATTATAGTTTGGGAGGAAGAAATCTGGGAGGTGATAAATATGTCCAGGATATCGGGACGTTTTTTGAGGGATGTTGGAAAATAAGTAGGATTCATGGGCGAGAGGATGGAATAATTGTTGGAAGAAGAAACTTGTGAAAGGGTATTACCACGGGAGTTGGATGATCGACAACCCCATCGTTGGTGTTTAGCATTGTAGTCTCCTCCAGCAATAAAGCGCGATCCGAGAGATTGTAAAAAGGATTCAAGTAGGCTGTACGAGAGGGAATTGCCAGGAGGACAGTATACAGCTGAAAGAGTTAGATGGAAAGGACGAGTTGAGAGGATTACAGAAGTTGACTGAATGGTATCTGTTGGAATAGAAGGAATAAGGGAATGGGGTAAAGATTTGTGGATAAGGATGCAAGAACCGGCGTGTGCAGTGTTGTCTGGGTGGTCAGATCTATAGGTGATGTAGTCACGTATGTAGAAATGTGTCCGTTGGGTGAAGTGAGTTTCTGTTAGGAGGGCAATGTCAATATAATTGTCATGGAGAAATATGTCTAGTTCGTCTCGGTGGTTTTGCAGTCCATTAGCGTTCCATAAGAGGATAGCTAGGGACTTTGAGTTCATCGAGGGAAGCTAAGCGGGATTTCAGAAAGGAGTCTGGTTAGAAGGGTTATGAGAGGTTTGATAGTCTGTTGAAGATCTATCAGGAATGATGATAAGATAGTGTTGATGTCGAATGGTGTTTGGCTGGAAAATGGGTTTGGATCAGGAGGTTGTGATGGGTAGGTTATGCGACTAGGAATGTTGGGTGGGGGATGGGCCCGTCGTGGGGTACGAGGAGGAGGAGGATCTAAATTCTGTTGGACTTGTGGAGGGGGGTTCATCCTGGGATTAGGAACGAATGGAGCTGGATGTGGATGCTCTGGCGGGAGTTTGACTCTTAAGGGTAAATGATGAGGAGGGATTTGCTGGCGAGGAGGTTGAGGCTGATTATTAGGGATTTTGGGCTTGGATTGGAAGGCCTGAGGCGCCTGACGTTGAGGTTGCTTCTTACTGGTGGAAGACTGGGAGTGAGAATTTCTGAGATTCTGGTGAGGTGAGTCCTTAGCTGTAGAGATGGATGGTTGTTGTTGGATGACGAGGGAAGGTGAAGTCGGCAATGCTGGGAAAATATCCTGATTTTCAATTTCAGGTGGTTCAGTGTAAGTTTTCTGAGCAGATCCAAGATTTTTCACCTCTGAGTTTCGTGATCTTTGTTTGTAAAGATTTTTATATACTTCACATCCTCTGTAGCACGCAGGATGGGCTTCGCCACAAAGAGCACACATCGCAGGCTCATCTCTTGGCTTCTGGCAAGTGTTTGTAGCGTGTAGGCCGGCACATTTAACGCACCTGACTTCGTGATAACAATAGGCCTTTGTATGGCCCAAGTTTTGACACTTAGTGCATTGTACAATTAGAGGCTTCTGTTTCGGTTCCTCAAAACGGACAATTGAGTAAACCAATCGTTGAACCTGGAATATTTCAACATTGGTTTTTGCTGGTTCCAGGTCTATAAAAAATAATGGTAGTGGATATCTTTCTCTAGGATGTAGTACAGGTGCTATGTGCCTGACATTATGACCGATTTCTTCGAGGCCCGATTTGATAGCAGATATGGGTGTGGTTGAATGTAGTCCTCTCAGGACCACTCGATACGCCTTTTCTTGTTTTAATTGGTAACAGTGGAAGTCGTAGTTATTGGTCGTTAAGAAATTGATTAGTTTTTTATAATTGTCTCTAGAATTAGTATTAATTTTGATGTCGTTCACTCTCGAGTAACATCGAAAATTTGGCTGTCCGGTCAAGTCTGCAATTTGTTGACCAAACGACATAAAGTTCTTAATTTTTGAAACAAATATTGGCGGTGGCTCAGGATCAGAAAAATCTTGAAGCTGCGGAGTCTTGTGAGATAGGTTGTTTTCTTGAATTGAATTTTTGCTTTCTGATGTTTTTGGTGCAGTTGGCTCTGATTGAGTGGCATTAGATTTGCTCCTAGTTCTCGGTGGAGATTTATCTTGTTCTGGTTGCTTATTTGATTTATTTTTTTTTTTTATTAGGTGAGTTTTGTCCCGATCCGGGAACTGAGTTTCGGAGACGCTTTTGGAGTGTACGCCTTTTCAAATATTGCGAGTCGGTCTCGCTAATTTCCGAAAAGGGTGTCTCATCCTCCGTGTCTTCACATGATGTGTTCTCATCCAGATCCATCATGATAAGTGTTAGAGAAAATTAAGAAAAAGAAAAAAAAAATATGTCTATATATATAAACCTAAATATTAAAATTAAAATTTATGAGATAACTTCTTAAACACTAAGCTATTTACAAAATTATTTACATAAATATATACAGATATAAAATAAAATATAAAATAATTCATTTCCAAAAAATAAATAATCAAAGAAAAAAAATGAAATAAAAGAGTCTCTGGAAAGAAAAAAAAAAAAAGAAAATATAAAGAAAAAAAAAATGAAGTTAAATGTCTTGGATTCGAACTGAGAACAACACTGAAGAATGTTATTGTACACAGTGCCGAGCCTTGGCTTGAATTTATCGCAGATAAGGTAAAACCCGCAAGGGAATTACTAGCCACATGGGCTAACCAAACGAGCACTAATTTATAACTGTTTCATTGTTAATAAATAGTCACTCACCTGATCATATGTGAATATAAAAATATAAAACTATTAATATAGTCACTGTTGAAAAAGTCTTAGAGCAGTATTTTAAATAATAAGCACATTAGATCGTATCAAAGGCAGAGCGACGTGTAACTTGAATTGCACTAGCGGCCATGACACTTGCTACAATTTTTAAAAATAAAAATTTAATTGACTCTCTCTAATTTAAACAAAATTATTACTTACGTGGCAAAAGATCTCGAATATATCAGAGATGACGAATAAGGGTCTATGGAACCGAAGTTTCTAGACAGGCATTTCAGATTTTATCCGAATATCTAAAAGGAACAATTGGTAGGCAACTTGATTCTGGAGATTAGGGTCTGGGTACTCAGTTTATCCTAGAACATCGGAAGTGGAAATGTCTTCTCGCCCTCCATCCATCTGTTGTGGCCTACCAGTGATAGTAATATACATTCTCACCAAGTTTTAATATTTTTGAAAAGTTACTTCAAAAAGATCAACATTTTTAGTCAAGTATCTTTTGTTGAAAAAAAAAAAAGTTAACATTGCTTTAAAATGATTAATTTGAATTGGTAATTTTGATATTAGGACAAAAATATCTCTGATGCCTGAAAGGCTTAATTAATAGTATATATAAATAAATAGATAGTTTTAGAATCTTAGCTTATAATTACTTTGTTTTAGTTTCTTTTTTTTTTTAATCATTGGATTTAATAGTGAAGGTATATTTTCCAGTTACTCATAATTATATTTGTACCTATAGGGCTGGCTTTGTATTGAAGAGTGAAGGATTGTGGAGAATTTTAGAACTTCATCAAAGAATGGATTCTAGAATATTACCACCTCTTGCTAAAAGAGGTCTAATGAAGGCATTTGTACTTGCTGGTGCTGGGCTTGAAGACTCTACCAAGAGAGAGGAGTATTGGAACCAGGTTCATTTATTTTTATTTTAATAGCATGTGAAAATATCAGCTTATCCAAAAAACTTTATTGATCCTTTTATTGCCTATTAAACGTATTGAGCATGTGAGAAAAATATCAGACCAATTTGACAAATTTCCTAGGGTTGTGGGAAAAACTCATTAATCAACCAAGTAAGAAAGATATTCACAACATTCAAATAAGGGGCCATAATAGCAAATAAAGGGAAGATAAAACTATGCCAAATTTATTGTAATGTTTATTGAAAAACATAAAAATTAATTCTCTTTTTAAAAATACTGTTATACAGACAAGAAAGATTATCTGGTATAAAACAAACGATTGCATTTCAATATTCCTGAGTCTGGTGGCACTGGTTCTCATCCAGTCTGGGTGGGTTAAAATTTATCTTGTGAACCCACACTTTAAATTAGGTTTGGTTGTTCCTCTAGAGAAAATATATTTACTTCTCATAAGTCAGTATTTAAAAAAAAAGTCTACCAAGTAAGGTCAGTATAGATAGCTTGTGGAGTTTTTATTGGCTAAAAAATATCTATATTACAAGGTCTAAAATTTGTTGTATGAGCCGTTTTCGGAAATTCATTAATCCCTCAGCATATGCGGGCTTGATATCCACGAGTTTTGTTTATCAGCAAATACTAAAATGCGAAAGACTTCCACATTTGCAGATTACATATTTGATGATTCATAATTTAAAAAAAAAAATCCAGTGCATTCTGAATATCACTACAGTTAGTGCAAGAAGTCATATGTTAAAATTGAGTGTTTTACAGGTGAGCATAAAAACTAATTATTTCTTTATGATTTAAATAATTTCTTTATAATTTTATATATTATTGCCCTCTGCTGTTTTCCATATTAATAGACTACTTATATCAATTGCAGACTACATAATGTCAACAGTAGTGATATATACTTAATAGGCATATTTTCACTCATAAAATGGATGGAACAAACGATCCATAGGAAAAATTCAACTTTTTGTTTGTTCAGAGTTAACGAGACCAATACTTTTCTTCAGTCAGAACAAACCTAATTATGCGGGATAAAAATATGCATGAAGTTCACACAACTTTGATAAATTTGAGGAGATAATCGAGACCACAACAAGCTGATTGAACTTCAATATAAATAAACACAATCACAAATAATACTTTTTTTTTAGGAACTCGGACTAACAATTAATTTAAATTAATGGAAAATAACACGAAACTTAAGTAACGATAGTATATGTCATGCCAGTAACGTTTGCATCGACAAATCGACCAAAAAATTCAGTATAAATTAACATTTTGAAAATAAAAATATAGTATTAGCCTAACGTCCACTCCATATGATAAATGCCTTCCACATTTCACAGCCATTATATTGTTAACAATTGTTTATATTAATTTTAACTATTAAATGGAATTCAATGAAATTAATATTAGGTAGTTTCTATACTATTCTCCAAGTTTGGGTCAAATCGAACTAACCGTTTTCAAACTATAGGCATGTCATATAATAAATTTTCTGATCTGAATGCGAGTGAAAATTGTCGATTCTGATCACTTTTTTTTTTTAACCTCTCGCATGAATACAAAGTTTCTCTATCTTCGGTAGTGAGGAAGCAATAAATAAAATTCTATATCTAAACAGTATTCATTTCTTTCTTTTTTTTCAAAATTTAAATTTCCCTCCACAAAATCTGTGTTATTAGTCAATATATCTGACTTATCCATCTAATGAGAAGTGGATATATTGATTTTCAATGAATGATCCTTAATTTCTCTGTTGTTTTGGAACAAACTTAAACAATTCAAAAACTTTTGTAAATTTAGTTACTTTTTCGTACTTTGTTGTGACTTGTTATTTGTTGAGATAACTTGAAAATGAGTAAAAAGGCTCTAAACCTTGTTATGAATTGAATTAATTATACTTACAAGTATACTTAAGTAAAATTATACTTACCAATCCTTGAAGATACTATATATAAATTTATTTTGAGATAGAGTTCTCTTGTAATGTAGATGATATGATATGCTCGCATACACAATGTTTTTATGTACTTACTGTTGTTCATAGTATATGAGTAGTTATTTAAATTACTCTATATGCTTTTAGAATTTTTATTTAGTTTTTTAGTGCAAACAAATTTTGCACTTTTTTGTGGAGAGTGAATTAGATTAAGCAGTTAGATTTTCAATGTTTAACGCTCAGGTAAAATTGGCAGGAGTCGACTAATTGAAGTGATTTTGGATATGGATTAAAATATCTCAAAAACTAAAAATCAGACCTGCATATTGCTAGCAAGGGAAATGTCCATCATTTCATCCTCTTTATAATGAGCTATTATTCAAAATTCTATCTTAATGCAACGCCGTGTTAGAGAGACGAAAAGAAAAATAATAGTGTCAAAAACCAAATGATTGGTTTTATTGAAGATATGGATTAAAATATTTCAGAAACTTTTTACTTTCACTTACCTATTTATGAAATATATAGTAAGGGACAGTATTGCAATCATGAAAATTTTTGAATCTGTGTTATTTAGCTACTCAACACAGTTCAGCAGCCATGCAATGTTGTATTTCTCATGGATATATTCCATTAATTTATATGCACCATTCATTACATCTGTTATTAATAATTTTTTTTTTTCAATGGGACTTTTATGTATATTTTGAACTCTTCAAAAATGATGTAAAGTGTTTATAGATGCATAGTCCACATTAATTTCATTTTGTGTTTTCAGTCTAATTTGTGAAAAGTGGACTGATCGATTATGAGTTGCTAAGAGACTGAAATATTTTTTGTGGAATCACTTATTATATTTTTATCTCTTACATTGAGTTTTTCTTCCTTTCTTTTTATAAAAGTTTGACCGAAATTATTGCAGTTGTTATGATCTTGATATCTGTTTTATATTGATGATTTCTTGTTTTTTACAGATCCTAAATCCTATATTGGAATGGTTTCGGAACATTATCAGGCAGGAAAGTTTCAAACAAAACTTCCAGGATGAAAATATTAAGTCTGGAATAATAAATATCCTTGAATCATTTGTTGGTAATGTCTTATTTCATATAATTGTTATTAAATAGTCTTTTTATATAGAATTTTAAGTTGTAGGCCTCTCATATATAAAAAAGATAATGGTATCACTTCTTGTGATAGTTGTAATCTTATTAGTTTATTTCACATATTTTCTAATTACTTATGAAGTATTATTACTGATTATATTATGCTCTTCTTACATTTTATTTGGTTCTCTTATTTTCTCACAGAATTCTTTATGTTTTAAGAGAAAACTGTGTAAACTATAGTGTTTTATCAAATTCATACACTGATTTTCCATCCATTCTCACATTATATGTTGATTAATATTCCAAGTCAATATACCTTTAAACAAACTACATCTGAATTTTTCAATGTTTCTTTACTGTACTAATATGAATTAGTTCTGATGGGAGAACTGGAAACTTTTCCACATTGTCATTCCTTACTTCTTATATTCTTTTATAGGAGGTCTTTTATCGAATAGGTACTTTTCAGTAATTACATTGATTTTTACCAAATACCATATAATAAAAAAAAAATATCTTTTATAGGTTATTGAAACATTTATTTTATTTTAACAGTAGTAGAAATTGGTCAGGGGTTTGATCAAGGATGAAAGAACACACAAACAAGAAGCCTAAGTTTTAATCATTCATCAAGGCTAAGTGAAGTAATAACCAAAAAGTAGAGAATACATATATTAACAAGATACAATTATATAAAATTTATGATTAATCAAATATGCATGGGTAAATAGATGACTTTACTTACTCCTGATGAAAGCATGAAACTTAAGAACACATTATTTTAATACGGCTTTTTATTTGTATATAATTTTATCTTTGAACACAACCCTACCAACTTCTATTCGATCCATGATTAAGAAATATCAGTTACCCGTCACAGGATCTACAAAGATTTTTTGAAAGATTTCTACAGGTTAGAAATAGTGATACTTTCAGACATGAATGATAATTAAATGGATGCATTCTCAAAATGTTTAATCTAGTTTTTGTTATTTTGTTTTTCAAATTTTCCCAGCCTTTATAAAGTGGGTACCTTCAATTAAATAATTGATTAAGAGGGAAAACGTGACGGTAGAGTGTGATCCTGACCCTATCACCTCCCTGCACAGCCATTAAACTTGAAACAGTACTTATTAACAAAGTACTGAACACAAAACTCTTCATAGGTTGTAGTGGTACTGGTTTCATTTTTAAAAATAAATTTTGTTTTTTCATAGATTAAAAGAGAATTTCAATTGATTGTAATTGTGGTATTGAGGATATTGAAAGTTTTTGATGAAGAACTTTTTTCTTTCTTTTTTTTTCAACTTCACACTGAAGTAAGACATATGCTGTTTGTTTCTTGCAATAAATTTATTTATTTTAATTTTAAGGGGTGGCACAAGGAACTCAAGTCATGACGGTTCATTCTATATTTCATCTGCTCTCTCCTTTATTATCAGAATGTGCAAACTTGGCTGGTGTTTATTGCAATTTTCAGATGATTATTGAGCTGATTCTTGAATTATTTTGTGACTGTGCCAGATCCATGCTTTGTTATCTTACCCCTGTAAGTATCTCATATTTTTTATTATTATTTATATATATATATATCATTGTTATCTTTAACCATGTTTTATTTGTCTCTGAAAAATTGTCATTAAAAACTGTTTTGATTTTCTGTCAATAAATTAGACTGAGAGTAGAGTGTTTTATGAAGCTTGCCTACAAACTATTCAGATGTATGCTCGCTCTAATCTTGGTAGAAGGAGCCTTGAAGCGGGCACTGAAGAAGATGCATTCCATGATATTCAACTCCTTATGGAGTTGCTGACAACTCTGTTATCAAAAGACTTCATAGATCTAAGTCCTGCAGGTATATTTTGTTCTGATTATTAATTTTAATATTTTTATGTTTTTAATGAGTTATTTTATAAACAAATGAGAAAATGTTTATTTGATATTCATAATTAACCGTTGATATATAAATGTTTACTATTTATGCTTGACTTTTAGAAATAGCTGTTATTGTAGTGTAATGTTACACTGAGGTGTAGTTTAGAAACGGAGCTAATGCTCCAAATATTGATGCAAATTGATGCTTGCTCACTGATTGAAGTAAATAAAAGTGAGGACAAATGTTAGCTCAGCGTGCTCCTATTCAAGTTAAGACATATTCATTTATGATGACTGCATAGATATCATCTATACATACCAAAAAACTTCACATCCACAGTTCATCTAACAACTTTCGAACTGTGCTCTTTATCGCTTTGATAAAATTAATCAATTGATATTTGATTATTGTCTTGGTGCAAATAATTAACATAGTTTTGCTTCACAACCGGAGGTAGTGAGGTTTTGTTCATACGGAAAATTTAAAAAAAAAAAAAGTTAAAACATGTTTGTTCTCAGAATCGAAAATTTCCATTTGCTTTTTACATTTAAACATCAAGAAACAAAGTTCTTTCCATGTCTGTAGCAAAATCCATGTTATGAATTTATATACGTACAGTAATTAAAACCAATTTCCTTAAAGTTTTTAGATTGTGTGGGTTGGTACTTAGATGGTTCTGTGCCAATTTCATCAAATTCTATCCGCTACTTTCACATACACAAGCATTAATGGGACCTATATTTCCAAAACGACTCGTTTGATTTGTCTCAAAGTTAGGGATTATTGAAAAGCTTATGCTGCATCAATTTTATCAAAATTCATATGTTACTTTCTCTTTCATATTCGCAAAAAGATGTTGCCTAAAAATTTAAATACAAAAAAAAATACTCAGAAGATAGACATAGCTTTTTATTCTTCCTTGTTAATTTTTTAAACAATTTTTTGCAGTTACGTAGCCCTTCTTTTGTATGTTTTATTTGATAAGATTGTAGTATTTTCCTTGATCTGTTTTAATCCACTAATAACTCAGTTTTGAAAAAAAATATGACTCTCTATTTTGTTTTCCCTTTTTTTGTATCAAATTCCTTTTTTTTTTTTTTTTTTTATCTTCTCAAACCACTTCTTTGTAGTGTATTGATAAAGAGTTAGATTATTATACACTACTAGTTAGAGCAAATAATAGATTTTTGTTGCAATTTTTCTAAAGAATATAATAAATACAATCTGCTGTCTGTTGTATACAGTTTACAAACATAGTTAATCCAAAGAAATATACATTATGTCTGTTATTTATTTAGTAAGTAAATACTCATGCTAAATAACAATACCTGATGAAAGTGTAGAGTATGATTTCTTTTGATAACAATATTTAAAAAATTAAAGTATTAAAAATGACTTGATGAAATGCCACACAGTTCAATAACAGATAAATATATTTTCCATTTTCTTTTTCAGTTGACCCTGTCAATGGTGACAACAGTGGTGTTACGGCTTCTGACATTTGTTTATTTGGACTCAATATACTGATGCCACTGATGACCGTTGATTTGTTAAAGTTTCCTTCTTTATGTTTACAATATTATAAAGTAAGGATTAATTTATTAGTATAAAACTTCTATATATAAATAATTTCTTTTGTTTGTTTTCCATCCTGCTTTATAAATAAATTGTTTTTAATGTTATTGTCTTAATTGTCTTGTTCCTTTAATGAATTATATTGAAGAAAAATATTTATTTGATAATAGTTATAATAGTTCTTTTTCCAATAATTGTTTATTTAATAGATGGTGACATTTGTATGTGAGTTGTGTCCTGAGAAAATAATGTCTCTTGGCGAAGACCTCTTACGAGGAATATTAAATACTGTACAATTGGGACTCCAGTCGTTTGGCCAAGATGTAAATAATCTGTGCTGTGATTTCATTCAGGCTTTAGGAACTCATGTGCACTCGACAGGAAGACATACCACATTTACTTATCTTGCTCCATTTGTCAAGGTAAGATAATTATCTGTTTTCTTCAAACAAACATTTGTTTTAAGCATTCTCCCCTTCGAGTTTTTTTTTTCAATTAAATGTCAATTGTTTCATTGCAGAAAACAAAATTTCCTTTCAAATTTATTTTTTAATATTTGTAAATTTACTTTGATGTAATAATAAAAAATGAAAAAATATATCCTACACTTAACTATACATGAAATTGGATATTTATAATTTACGAAATATATCTTTAAAATAATTAATTTGTTTACATCAATATCCTATTTTTATAAAATAGTAGTAAATCACTAGTTCTGTATTACTAATCTAAATTTATAAATACATATAGATTAACTATCATATATATATATATTGATTTTAACCCTGTTGAAATCAAGCTATGGCTCTATTGCCAACCACTCTGTTGTTATATTGTATTTCATTACTCTATTTTAACATGTTTCCCTGACTAGTTTGATTAAGCAAATATAATAAGTCTGTCAATTATTCAGGATCATTTTTATTTATTTCTGTGAAGTCACTACTAAATATATCTTTAATAACCAGTATTTTCCTCTTCTATTCAATCCTAAATTTATGATTATTCAGTTCATGATTTACCCTTCATTTTAATTCTTTAACTTAGTTATTATCAAATTATTATTCTTAATTTTTTTTTTTTATCCATTTGCTTATTTTTACATTGTTAGAAGTTACATAATATAAGTAAAAGTTAGAATCTATTTTTTCTGTATTAACAAAAAATAAATATCTAATAATGTCTCTAACAGGAAATAAATATATTTTTTTTAGCTATTAATGGAAATGATTCTTTTACGACAAGTAAACTCAGATGTTCTTCCTAATACTGGACTTGCATTGTTTGTTCTCATATGCTGTTATCAGGTGAGTTCACTTTTATGTGATATTTATTTTTAAAATGTACACGGTATTAAATTAAACCAGTGGTGTAAATAGAATGTGGCAAAAGTCAAGGGGACACCGAATTGGAGACAGGTTTTTAATTTTATTTTATTTACATTTCTATGTGCTTCTTCTTCGTTCTTTCCTCTAGATGGCTATGTTAGGAAGTAAAAAAATAAAATTAGTGGTCCTGCTTAGGTGGTTGGTCTTCTAGACAGCTTGGTCACGTCTGTAGGTTAGGGCCATATCTGCCTCCACCTGCTGGCAGCTTTGCAGAATGTGCTCTGTTATTTGTTTGTTTTGGCCACATTCACATAGAGGGCTGGGCTCTATCTTGAATTTCCTGAAGAAATATGATTTTAGATGGTGATGTCCAGTCCTGAGACGAAAAATTACAATCTGTTCTCTTCTTGTTAACTTAAAGTAATCGTCATGGGAATTGTGATCTGGGTGACTTCTTTCTACCTCTGGCTTATGGCTGCTTTGTTAATGGTTTTATACTTCTGCAACCTTGAGATGGTGCTAATTTGGGGGGAGTGATGTTCCTTGTTTAGCCAATCAGTCTACAATTTCATTCCCCCGCAAACCCACAGTGTTCTGGAATCCATTGTAAAACCACCTCTTGGTACTACACTCTTAGATCTTCCAGCTCCTCAGCTAATGTGCACTCTTGCATTTATTTCTTAGGCAATAATTTAGGATCTTGACTTCAGTCAGAATGGAGTCATGCTGCTTGATAAGTTTTTATAAGAGCATTGTAAATTTGATTTTGGTTCAATATTTTAATCAACTTCTGTAGATATATGTATTATTTTACAAGTTCTTCTTACTGTTTTGTTACATTTGATTTTCTTGGAATAAACGTCAAGCCATTAGGGGTTTCAAACTACTATTTTTAAATGCATTTTGAGCACATAATTATTATTATTATTAAGTTGGCACTATAATTTGATGTGGAGTTCTAGCCACACTCTTGTTGCATCGAAGCTGAGGTCTTAATCTGTGAAGAATCTCTGTTATTTTCCTTGTCTGATCATTTGCAGCAATTCGAGATATATGCTGAATCTACTATGTCTCATATACTGAATAATATTTGGTTCCTTAAACAAATCTTTAGCTGTATCTGATATAATTTTTGATTATGTAGTCCATTTGGAGTCAATATTATTTTTTACAGCATCAACCTTCCAAATGTGTTTGTCTAGTTCTGATACATAATTGGGGAGGACAGTTGATTATTTGAGCTTATTGATATTTTATCACTTAATCTTCTATGTTTGTGCATATTTGCTTCCTCACTACCGAAGGTAGGGAAGCTTTGTATTAAATAAAATGTTTTTCTCAAAATCGATAATTTCCACTTGTGTTTTACGTTTAGAACATCTAGGTTCAAATTTATCAGCTTATACAGTTTATCCGATTTCCAGGAATTGTGCGGGTTGGGACTTATATGGTCCTATATCAATTTTATCAAATTCCATCCTGCACTTCTGTTTGCGTATGCGTAAATGTATTTTCATAGATATACTAATATTTCAGAAATGGCTCATTCAATTTGGCTAAAACTTAAAATAAAAGTGGATTTTGGTAAAAGAATGATTCTGGATCGATTTTATTAAATTCAGTGCTTTACTTTCTCTTATATATGTCCAAATGTGTATATATATGAAACCCTTATATATTAAACTCTATATTCAATTTGGCTCATATTTGGAGGGAAGTTAGGGATTGGTTAACAGTTAATTAAGTAAGTATAAATTTTATCAAATTCTATCCACTACTCCCCCAAAAAATACTTCCGCTTTCGGATCAGCAAACTTATTTTTTGGCACGCCTATGCCTAACTATTAACTATTACAGTTTAAATAAACAGGCATAATATAAACTTTATAGTTATCTAAATTTAACATGACCAAATGTTTATTCGAGATTTCACAAAATTTTATTTAGTTTTTAAAAACTTTTTTAATTCACACCATAGAAACTACCGCCTGAGGCTCTACCACATGCAGCATTTCTTATACCTGGAATCCATATTGTATAAAAATCATTAAATAGATGTTCATACCTTGGCTGATCCTTATTCTCAACAAAAGTCTCAAATAAACATATTACATCTATTTTTTCAATATATTGAAAAAAATTAAATCATCCTTTTTAATTTTTAAGCCACAAATATTATGAGCTAAAATTTCCACCGATTGTTCTTCTTTCTGTAATTGTGAGGCATTCTCAAAATAATTCCTTGAACTAGACGAAACATTTTCCTTCAATGCATTCTGAGTTATAATACCAGTTAATTTTATCTTGAGCGGATTATTATCAGTGAGATGTTCTGGAGCGAAAACGAAATGACTCTAGTTTGTCTTTGGCTTTTCTTTTACCGGCATTTTCATAAGTATATTTTTGAAAATCTGGTGGACTTAAAATGGAATGCAATTCATCAAGGGAATATAGGGTCCCTCTAAATTTGATTAATAACAGATTTGTCATCTATTTTTTGTACCTTTTTTAAAGCTTCATACAAATCTTTTCTTCTCTTTCTGCCCAATAACGTTCGGTCATGAGCTATAGAACAATTACTTTCACTGAGCTTATCCCTCTTTTCAAACAAATCCATCTTGTCCCTAGGGCTAACAAATGAAATTAAAATTGGCCTAGGTGCCTGAACTCTCCCTAGTCTCCAGCAATATGAAATATTCTTGACAGATACGTTGGTCTCAGTTCTATTAAATAAAGTTTTTACTGTATCATAGACATCTTCAGGCTCTTCTCTTTGAGGCTCAGGAACTTTATATATGATAGTATTATTTTTAATTAGTTCTCGTCTGAGATTATTTATTTCTTCCTCCTGCATCTCTACTTTCTTTTCTAATAAGGTGTATCAATGTATATTTAAGTTATCTTTAATAGCATTTATGTCTCATCACTTCCTAAAGTTCAAATGTCTTTTTCTAAAGTACCTTTAATTTGGTTTGTTTCAATTAATTAACTATCTCTCCATGTTAAAAGTTATTTTAAAAAATTATTAGAAATCACCACAATTCTTGTTTTTAAATGCATCTTTTTTTATTTTAAGTCTTGTGCTTTTAGTTTTAAAAATATCATTATTCCTTAAAATTACTTAGAAACCACAATGACAAATTTGGTATACAATCTATCAAATGTATATTTCATTTTTATCATCTGAAAGAGAAAAATGCATGTTTCTAATGAAACCAAAAATTATGAATTTGGTTCGAATACACGAGTAATTAAGCTTTAATCTTCATCCAGGAACATGTAGAACCGTACTCACTATTTATCTGTCAAGTTGGAAAAATTCCAATATTTTGTTGTTTTTGGAGATTTTCTTGTAAGAGTTTTTTAGGATACTGAATATTTAGATAGTTTTTTTTATTTTAAAATATTATTGAAGTGTGTTTGTTTTTCTTATTCTACAATAAAATTAACTTTTACTAATCTATATCATACTTTTAGTTACATTTTATCTGAAATATTGCTTTTGAATGTTATTTCTCTAGGAGGAATATGGCAGAGTAGTTGAAACTTGGATCAATGCACAAAATGATCCTACCATTGCACAGAGGCTTGCTGCAGCTTTCACCGATCTCACTGCTAATGTTTCATTGAATACAGACAGAGGGCAGAAGGCCAGGTTTAAAGAGTCATTTGATAAATTTATAATTGATGTGCATGGGTTTCTATTGGTCAAATAATTACCTACATTATTTGATACAATCTTGATAACAGGTTTTTTTTTTGTTTTTGTTTTTTAAGAACATATTTAATATATGTTAAACTGATTTTATTGTAATAAAATAGTAGTATAGGAATACATTTCCTACGTATCTGTGTAAGACTATTTTGGTTTATTTAACCAAAATGGTAAACAGTTCATGTGATGATGCGACCCTCTATAATTTGTAAATAAGAATTGTAAGAACAAGAATACTGTGACCAATAATCATATAATCACTGTTTTGTTTTTTTATTTTTATACAAAAAAAAAATTGATAATTAATGGAAACGTAGCATTTATTTAATATAGATAAACTACTATTAAAATTAAATGTTTATGTTGTGAACCTTTTACACTTTTTTTTTTCTCAAAAAGTCATGTAAATAGGTACCTTCTATTCGATTTATTAATAAAAAATTATTTCTGTTAGTTTTAAATAAATGACTAGATAATTCAGAAATTAATTTGTATGTTCCAAAAATAAATATTCTATTTGTTGACCTAGTTTTCAGAATTTTATTTTAAAAGCTTAAATCGCACACCCAGAATGCACAGGATACTACTATAAATATTCCTATAAATTATTCTCTTGAATCTTTTCTAATTTCGTTCCTATCAGTTATCTGTTTTGGCGAGTGACCATCAAATATAAGATAGTAATAAACCCATCAGGTTGCCTAGTAGCAACCTGTTCTGAAACAGGATAAACATTTTAAGGTTTCTATATAGATTGTGCGGTGTGCTTAATATAAGTTATAAATAACTTTAACCGCTTCCCTTCAAAATATGACATGTATCCTTCATGTTCGCTTTTATTACTTATATGAGAGGTATTTTTGATATGAAATTGTTTCTATACCATAATATCGTCTGTGTCGTATATATATATATATATATATATATATATAAAAGTTTACAGTGAAATTTGTATTGCTTGTATGATTTTCATTTTGATTATTTTCATAATCCAAATAATAAATTCGCTACATTTATTAGAATTCAGAATGTAGCAGATTTATCTGTATTTATCTTAGTTTTATTTTGTTTTTGTTACTTTTTTTTTTTTTTTTTTTGTTCCAGTAGTTTAGACTATTAGTTCTTGAGTGAAATTAGTAACTGAAGACTGGTTGATTTATAAAATAGCTTTATAAATAACATTCAAATAAGTTTATTGCCATGTTGTTTGTTATTACTAATTTTCATTGTTTTCTTGTTATTTGTTATATTATTGACAAGAAAAATCTTTGTTTATTTGACATCAACATAAGCATATGTTTTATATCTTTAGTTAGAAGTTAAGGTCTTGTAATTCCATGGTATGTTTTGTGTGACAAAATTGTCAACTTTTATGTGATCATTCTTTGTTTGTTTGGTTTAGAACTTTGTTCATTATCAATTCCATAAGGCATTAAAATAACATTAAAACTTTGTTGTTATTGTTGTTGCTTTTCTGTATGTAAAAGAGTTTTAATGTGCTATTTTTTAAATATATTTGTATTTATTTCATTGCCCTTTTTATTACAATATGTTCTTATATTTCTCTTTGTTGAATTATTAAAATTTGAAAGTTAAAGAAACTTCTTTATTATATTAAAATTAATAATTTATTTTTTCCTTTATTTAGTTTATCTGCTAAAAATTATGGTGATGTCCTGTGGTAAATTCAAAAAAATATTTTTTATATAAAAAATTTAAAAATAACATTTTCAATAATTAATTAATCCGGCAAATGTATCCTTTGTCAAAACAACAAAGTTTCTGCATGATCCAAATAATTTCTTTGTATTACCTTCTGGCATTCCCTTCCTCTCAGCAGTGCTATCTCCACCTTCTTAATATGTGATCTTTAATGACGAAAAGCTCATACAACAGGTAAGTCTGATTGTTTTTATTATTTATTTGAAGTAACATTGCCTAAATGACAAAGCGATACCTTTTTGCAACCGGCTACGACTACAAGTTTGAAATTGATAAATCAGATGATCTCTCAGATTTTTTTCCTGATGAAGATGAGATAGTCGGAGACAAAATTTTAGAAAATATAATAGAGGCAAAGACACTAAAAAATGTATGATGAACCTCTATCTTCCCTTCCCCTTGAATTGCCTAACCAGGACAGCGTCACAAAAAGTAAAAAGATTTTGAGTGGAGTATGGTCGCCTCCAAGTGGAGAAAAAGTTCCAAATGCCAACACTGCTCACATGCGACCCTGTCCTACTCAAAAATGTATAAGCCAATTGATTGTCTCATACAGTTTTTCACTGAAGTTCATTTGATTACATATGTTTATTTATTTTTTAATATTGTATAAAATAAATAATGCAAATCAAAGGGATGAAATGAATCCCAGAATTCTTCATTGGTATTTCCAAAATAGTAACCTTAAGTAAATATTTTTATGATTATTGAACTATCCTCTCAAGAAGTTCATAATCATAATTTTACTCTTGTGCTTTGAATATAGAAAGTTCTATGGTTTTGTGAAAAATTTTTTCCTGGAAAATTTTGATTATCTGATAGCACTAAGAAGATAGAATTTTAGAAAATATCTATCCATGCTAATTTCACATAAAACTAATCTTATTTTTCATCAACATTTTTTTATTGAATTTTTGATTTTCCGAACCACCCCACTCAATATTAGTTCGGATTATTTGGATGCAAAATATCTTTAACTAAATGGTAAATGTAAATAATTCTATATAATAAACAGGATATCAGTAATGTATGACATACATGCACCCTTAAATGATCATTTTGTAGTCCTGATTTCAATCCTGCTAGAAATATCTTTGGGATAGACTAGAGGGCAGGTAATGGTCTGATGATATTGGCGAAAAGAGGTAGTCTACACAATATTTTCCTCTATTGTAATTTTTTTTTTAAATCGATCATTTAAAAATTTATTGAAAAAAAAATTTTTTTGTTAAATTGTGTACATATTTCCAAATATTACTCACCTTGAGAGTAAAATAAAATAAATATATCTTTAACACTAAGGTATTTCTACTAGTAATAAAGTGTTTTATTTCAATAGACTTTATTTATTATTTTTTAATAGAAAAAAATTTATTGAGAAGTTAATAGAATTTTAAGCCTTGTCAGATTAATAAATAAACCATTTGCATCATCCATAAAGGCATAGGATTCCAAAATAAATCTTAATTGTCAATAACTAAAAGTATTTTCTTTAATTCACTGTTTCCATAAAAATATGTTTAAAACATTTTTGGACGAGTAATACTTATCCCATCAAGATGAAAATCAAAACATATAAATGATGAGCTGGCACCATTTCTGTAAACATATACAATTTTTTTTTTTAACCTTTTCTAGCTGAATGGCTGCCTTCACCAGTTGGCTCCCATTTTGTTTACTTTGGGTTTTTATCTCGATTAGCTTGCTGTTCTTTTTTTCTCCCCTACCTTGCCCTCACCTTTTCCACTAAACAGGGTTTTTCCCGGGCCAAGGAAGAAGGCGGGAGATTAATGCCGGAGTTAAAAATCCTCAACACTGGAACTCAAAACTCGTAACCTTTATTGCTTGATCTTGCTGCCATGTTTAATATCATAAGATATTCAGTAATTTTCTTTTTAGTCATTTCCTTCTTATCTATAAGCTCTGTTTTTTTATCTCGGTTCTGCTCTCTCAGATACTTGCCAGAGACAATGTCTCATCCCAATAGATCATAAAGACCTTTGTATAAAGTACACCTTTATATCAAGAGATTTCTCAACATTTTTCAAAATTCTACTACTTATAAAAGGGAGAAGAATCTATTTGCATTAGTTAAATGCAGGCTGGCTTAAATGTAAACCAATAAATACTGATTAAATTAAATAATCAAGTTTTAAGTTGATTATTTTTTTTACGTTAATAAACAGTGTTAGGCATTCAGGTAATTGCAAATATTATTCCATCTCCATTAATTATAGTTTAACATGGTAACATTATAATTAAACTCCATAGATTCTTACTTGCAATTTTTTTTTTTTTTTGTTAGATAACTTTTTTGAGAAATTATCTAATCATTCAATAGATGACAAGAACTGCTTTACCCACCATCGGGTTAAATTAATGTAGAAAAGTGGACCTTCAGGTTCATAATCTAAGTATACTCTTGTAGGAGTCTTCTTAGATTTAGCAGGTTCAATTTGACTGCCATCTTGCCAATGGTTAAAGCTTGAAATACTTATAAAACTTGGTCTTTTGGATAGAGCGCTTCTCCACCCCACCTGTTTTTTATTTTTTCAGATATAATTTTTTTCACTAAAAATTCTTTTATTTATCTACCGTAAATTAGTAAAATACATACCTCATAATAATTACCCTTTAATCGATGTCTAGTACGCTTGATAGATAAAATATCTGAAAATCCAGGTCCAACAGATGGAATAAACATGAGAGTATTCTCTTGGCAAAATTTGGCTAATGAATTCCAATTTTTCCAAGATGATCCATAAGTAAAACCATTTCCAGAGGAATAAGTGTACAAACCTGTAAAAAAATCAGAATGATAATATTTATAAGTGCATATATACTTAAAGCAAAACAAAAATTTCTATTATAAATCAGTTTGTTGCAGAAAGTCATTAAGTACACTTTTGATGGATCTAAACTGAAGTGTATTAAAATAACACAAACCCTAATTTATTTTTTAATCTGTATCTATAAAAAAAATATACAAATTTTTTCCTTTTACAATAATAAATTTAATTTTAAATCTTTAACTGCGGACGGGATACATGCCCTCCTGTTAAGAGTTGGGTCACTGGTGCAGACGGGATATATGCCTTCCCGGTAGTGAGTTGGGTCTCTGATACCTATATCTGCCTTCCTGCCTGGACGGTCGCCACTTGAATAGGTAGGTGTAAGTCCCACTTTCACCATTTGACTTGTGGCTTAGTCCGTGTATTCATTAGTCCCCTTTCGCTAACTCAGTGCGGTTGTTCCTGATTCAGACCATTAGGAAGCTATCAGTTGCAGATTTATTCTGAACCGAAGGTATGTCCTTTCTCTGTTATTTGTGTCATATCCATGATCTTATTTAGATCCTATGTAAATATTTTATGCATAAAATAAATGTTAATAAGTTATTTGTTATATAAATTAGGCCATTATTCACCATTTTATTTATTAGTTATTTTATTACGACAATGTTTCGACAATCACTAGGGCCATTTTCAAGTCTTATTGAGTCCTCCATTAAATATCCATTATTAGGTGTCGTATTAATTTTTCAGAGAACATTAAGTTGTCCTGATACTTAAGAGTTTTCCCTACATCATTTCTGGAGGGACTCGGTCCCTAATAAAGTCAAATCAATAAGACTTGAAAATGGCCCTAGTAATGGTCGAAACGTTGTCGTAATAAAATAGCTAATAAATAAAATATTGGTGAATAATGGCCTAATTTATATAACAAATAAAACCTCAAGACACCAATTCTAGTAATAATGAACAGAAGTTAATTTTATATATTTTCCTTTTTTTTTTTAATTTTGTTTTTGACTGAATGCTGATTTTGCTACACGTTAATCTCTGTCTACTAAACAAATAAATGTAAGTTTCCTAATTTTATATATATAATTAAATTAAAATGTAATAATAAAAATTAATAAATGTAAAAATATACAGAATTAAAATGATGCTTTAAGTAGTTGTTTTATCATTTTTCCATCCACCTAAAAACAATATATACATATATTTCATATATTATAAAAGTGTTTGAAACTCAAAATAAATGTAAGTGCAATAATAAAATTTATAAATGCACTATTTTCAATATGGAACTTTTTTAGGTAAAAAAAAAAATTGTAATTATAATGAAATATATAATTCAAATCCTGCCATCAGTGTCCTTTTTTTTAGCAATTAAAATGATGCTTTAGTTGTTTTATCATTTTTCCATCCACCTAAAAACAATATATATATATATATATATATATGTAATTATATATATAAAAATGAATGTATGTCTGTCTATCCGTCTGTTTGTCCTTAGTGTATTACTAAACCATTCAACCGATCACCATGAAACTTTAGGAAGTTGTTCCGTACACTCCAGGGAAAGTTTCTGGCATAGTACTTCTGTCTTACGATAATTTTATATATGTGAAAAAAATAAAAAAGTAAATGTTTTTCTGTTCAAAGCCGCAAAAAATGTGTCGCTATAAACTGTAGTGCCAAAACGGCTTTACCGATTTTAACGAAACTTGGATAAAGTCTTCCCCTTGAAACCCTTTTAATTTATGTGTATAACATACTTTCCCGAAAACAAGCTGAAAAATGTTACGATGAATTCAATATTTTATTTGACGATAACTAAAAAAGTACACAATTTTTGACCAATAATAACCACATTTATTTGAAAGATTCCTGATTTGCCGACAAAATAAAAAATATGTCATCGAAATCGGACGGTTCATTGCAGAGTTATTGAGTTTTAAACATTTACTGCTTTCTCTTCAGAAAAGGCCGTTTCTACTGAACGTCGGCAAGCATTTTTTTTTTTTTCTTTTTATTGATTAATCGAAAATTTTATAATTACTACAGTAATTGAAATTATCATTTGAAGAAGTTATATGATTCTCCTTATGTAGGTCAATACTATTATACGTTTTTTAAATTAATTTTTTTATTTAGTTTTATAAGTTCAACTCAGACTGTTTCTGATGATTATGAATGACAGCATATTTACTCAGATGATTATGAATGTTCAATTTGAATCATGAGAAAAAAAAAACAATTAGAACTAGTTTCAATTGAAGCCATTTTACAGACAAATTTGTTTCCCAACTTTTTAAAAATGACAGATGTCCCTTGCTACTAATCTACTCATATGTGCTTTCTATTTTCTTTCTTTTTCATTTTGCCAGGCTAAGCCACAGCAGCGCGTGGCGGGGTAAAGCTAGTATTTCATATAATATAAAAGTTTTTGAAACTCAAAATAAATTAAGTACAATACTAAAATTTATAACTGCGCTATTTTCAATATGGAACTTTTTTAGGTAAAAAAAAAAATTGTAATTATAATGAAATATATAATTCGAATCCTGCCATCGGTGATAAATGATTTAAGATGGTCTTTATCAAAATTAGCCGTTACGGTCTAGCATTGCCCCATTAATTCAAGAGAAAAAAAACAATAACTCCAGTCCAGTGGAAAGATAGGTATCTAAAGCCAGTAAAGAACAATTGGCTTCAGGAAACATCGGTCTAACAGATAGCCATAGTTTTCCCATTCGCATGAAAATAATATATTTTCATTGCCCCAAAACATAGTATAAGATAAGTGATTGTATAAAATTTACCTATTAAATCCCCAGATATTGCTATGGTATGTTACTGATGAGGAAGAGTGTCTGAGAATAGTAATTTTCTTTTCAACCCCTTTCCTGCTGGTCTGAGAGACCAATGTTTCAACTTAAGGGCGAAGTATCTCTGAACACTATAAAGTTCTTGATATTATATCTTACTACAAATTACATCATAAATGCCTGATCACAATACTACCACATCTTCTGAAACCACCAGTTACTATAGACTTATTTTTTCTAACCGATTAATTACAAAAAGGTGAAATCTATATCCTAGAACACTAAAATTCTTTAGTGGTAACATTCTAAATTCTCTTGAAAGCTGCTCTCATTCCAGGAAGTGGAACAATTTATAATTAGTAATTTAACACTGACAGGATAGGATTCATGACATTCAGTTAAACAACGCTGGATTTTTATAACAGAGATGTATTATACCATTTTCAAGATCTTTAGCCCAAATAATATCTTATTGCAAGTTATTAAATATATCCACATTAATTCTCGATTATTTAGATAAGCTTGAGTATACTATTATAGTTTCAAACAAAACAAACAGAAAGCCAACCAAAAATATTATCATGCATTGGCCAAATTTATGAAGAGTCAAAGCAATTAGATAACTTTTCTTAGTTATGGAATACAGCTTATCTAATTTGGAATAAAAGATAACTTTAAGGTCAATAAACATAATAAACAGTCATTAGTGCTCAAATCTAACCATTGATGTAAAACTGTTGTGACATCAGTCAATTATAGATTCCCTTTTATCTTAGCTATTTAAATCAGAACTATCAATAAAAATATTAGAACTAATCAATATTACGAAAGATATATTGGAGTAAATTTCAATTATCCTGAGTACAATTTTTTTTTCTGTTTATTTTACAGACCTTGTAAATTGACTTAATTACATATTTTCACCAACAGGTAAATAGCCCAATTACAGGTGGTAAAAATAACTCAAAAAGAAATATACTTTAATTATAATAGAAATAAACAAAACAATGCAGTGAAACAAATTATTAAAGACGTTTAAGTTGATAAATAAAAAGTAATTAATAAAAGGTCATAACTCTGACATCTTTAATAAATCAAAGTGTTTATGAACTAATATAATACAGGTCTCCTCGTAATAATATATGTACTAAAAATATTCTATCAAATTGTTAATGCAGAAGCTCAATAATATAATTTCTTAAAATTCGATACATTATATGAATATAAAAAACCTGTACCACTACAACCCTTGATGGGTTTTAGATTCAATACTATGTAAGGAACTACTGTTTCAAGGCCAACGGTTGTGCAAGAGCGTAATCGGGCCAGGATCATGCTCAACTGCCAGTCCCCCCCTAATTAATTATTTAATTAAGAATACCCACTTTATAAAGGCTGAGTGTGCCCCAGGAGGGTCTCCCAACCACAGAGTCAACCCACGACTGATAAAAAATTACTTGACATCAGCAGGATTTGATTTCAGGACCTTGAGCTTAGCAACCCAGTGCCTAAGCTCACTGAGCTACTCCACTTCTTATATGAATATATATTATATAAAGTCAATTAACAAAAGTCTTTATATATTCAATCACACTTATAGCTATTTATTCCTATATTTTATATTAAATAATATTTTATCTACAAAGAAATTCAGTATAAAATATTAAATTAATTATTCAAATATTTTAAACCAACCATCAAAAGAAGCATGCTTTATTTCCGTTATGTGACTTTGATCCGACAAATGTCCAATAAAGGTTCCATCATACTTTGTTTTCCTAAGAGATATATTTCCTTTTTCTGATAACATTTCTTTCCATACATAACTACTATGTTTATAAGATTCATGTATGTAAAAAACCTGGAAAGGGAGAATTTAAGCTATGTGTCAAAAACTATATTCTACTCATGCAAATAGTAACTCACTGGCAGCAACTTATTTTCTTTTTTCAAAAGATATAATGATGGATGATCTCCAACTTTCAGCATCAAATACTGTATCTGTTTAGCAATAGACTTATGTGTTCTACTTGTGTAAAAATAAATTTGGAAAGCTACTTTTAATTCATACTTTAAAGCAACATCCATCAACTGTCGTAGAACATCTTTTGGAGAGTCAGGAAAAGAGGGTGGTAACCAAGAGAGAACAACAACTCCTGTGGCAAAATGTCATGTGTTAACATGTTTTTTTAAAAATAATTAAAGCATTATTATTCAGCTATACCTATCCCTGCTTTTCTTATCATTTTCATGTGATAATCTATAATCGACATATTTTTAGAACTGTAACACCCTAAATAAGGATAGAAGCTTGAATATATATCTTCTGGAGGAAGTTTGTCTTTTTCATGGTCTTTCTTTTGAGAAACTAATTCTTTATTCCAATGCTGCCAAGACCCATCCTCTTTAGGTGTTTTGAACCAGGCATAATAGAAAATATGTACCCTGTAATTTGGTTGAGGCAACTCTTCCAAATTTGAAACTTTAGTCATTAAAACATTTTTCATTTTTTTTGATAGTTTTTCAATTCTGTTTTGGACCCATTTAACTTTCAATTCATTCATTGGGGGTATTTTGACTAAATTATCACTAGTAATATTGAAAATAATATAACTACTAGAAGATCCAGTTGATAGAAGGCTTTTACTAATTACATTTAATTGTCTTTGTTGATAGAGAGATATGCAAAGTACTAAAAGTAAAATGAATAATATTGGTGGTAAAATAAATTTGTGATGTAGCCTAGTAATTTTATAGTAAATACATCCTATGATAAGTGTTCTAATTTTTTGAATACAGGTTGAGAGACATAGACACCAAAAATTGTAATTAGATTTCATGGCATTGATACGTTAAATCATTCTTAGTAAGAAACTACCCTTAGTAATAACACGAAGTACCTAACAGAACCCTAACTTCAGACTGCAACTGCGCAAAGCAAATTGTCTGGCTCACTTGTTTGTAGAAACAGGGTACAATAACATTTCGCTTTGAATATAAATTTCAAAACAACAAACACTTGGACTGTAAAAGACTTATTATATATAAATTGTCTTAACAGTAATCCAATTTTGCTGAAGGCATTTTTAGAATTTATTAATATTCAATTAAAAAACGGTATACAGGAATATAATTTATTATTTAATAATACAGGAAAAATAAGGAAAAATGCAAATGTTATACCGATGATGATCGAAGATTCTAACTATTAAATTATCTTAATTTCCGTTTGAATGGAGCCACTAGCGGATCCAGGATTCAATTTTGGGGGGGGCTTCAGCCCGAAAGCTTTTTTTTTCATAAAAATGGCGATAATTACTTTGGAAAAAAAGAAAGAAACTAGCTATCTATATGAAATGGTGTTTAAGTGATTCCTTAAGTCCTTTTAAATGTAATTACACCAATAATAATACCTAAAGAGATAATTTTTTAATATATTTTCCCATAAAACATAGTTATATTTTACCATTTTGGGGGGGGGGCTTCAGTCCGAAAGCCCCCCCCCCGTAGATCCGCCCGTGAATGGAGCTAGTTTTTTCACACCATTTTAAAATTTCTTTGTAATGGTCGAAATAGATATTTATGAACATTAACCTATTTAAAGCCTGGATGGAAAAGCAATAATTTTATTTTAATTGTGAACTAGTACCGAAATTTCTTTAAATGTATAATTAATGTTTTAGTACTAATAATTCAATTGTATTTCAAATATTTTTAAAAATAATATGGATAAATGTCACATTTAAATATTTAGATCAATTCAATATATACAAAAAGTTAATTTTTGGAAGATCATTGTCCAAAATTCAACAGTCTTTGAGCATGGACGCTAAGGCAGTGGACAAGCAGCCATTGATGGTTTTGCGCGTATTCGGGAAAAATGTGTTATATTAACCTTTTGCTCGTGTTTTAGTTTGGTTTTTGTGTGTTTTTATTGTTCAACGTTATTGCCTCTATCGAATAAATACTATATTTGAAAAATGGACGCGGTCAAGTCTTTTAATTCGGAGGTAAGTTACTTATTTCATTGACATGTACTTGTGATTTTTTTATCGATATCGTTTCATATTTGTTTTTCTGTTGTTTTTATTTCTTGTATCTTTTAGGTACAGTTTTTACGAGTATATTCTTTGTTCAAACACCTAGTAAGTCTTATCCATCCTCATTCTTAACATAACTTCAGGTTATGTTGTGATTGAGAAACTTGAACAGTTTTCTTCTACATTGTTTTAGATCCTTATTATGTTATTTTCTTTTGAATGTACTTGATTTTTATAACATTGAGAATGTCACAGCTTAATTTAAATGATTTTATTATCTCCATTGTTATGTTGACTTGTGTAGAGTACTTATGTATATTCAAGTGTTTAGGAATATGTTGGTGGCTCATTAATTGCTATAAGGAGTGTTAATTGCTTATTTAAGCTGTTACAACTCAGTCAATTCTATATGACAATCTTCTTGGAAGTGTTTTATTCTTTATATTGATCATGATTATTCTTGTGGTTGTTGACATGTCTGATTTAAAATCATTCTATGTAAATTAAGGAATATTTTAAACTATTATTGATTGTTATCATTTGATTAATCCTGCTTGTAATATCCTTTTCATCTATCACATTGTCAGTTTGAGGGGTTTTAGATTTGGTTATTATACCGAAATTATTTCAGTACTAGTTCACTTTAACCACCCTTGAATAAGGAATGTGTAAAGTACCCGGGTTTATCAGAAAGACTGCGGAGACGACCAATCTCTTGTTATAGTTGGTTATAAATAGGATCTGACGATTTAAAATTTGTTTGAAATAGATCGTAAAAACCTAAATTTAGATCTGAAACCACTCATTAACCATAGTGTGTACTATATAAAAATATTTGTTGAGCCTAAACATAAATGAACATAATAAAACTGGGTATGAACATGAAGCCATAGTGCTAACAAAAATTAGAATTTTAAGAAGTAACATTACTTCTTCTTTTTCATTCTTTAAACCTAAACTTAATAACACAATGAGCATGTTCTGGAACTTATTGCTAATTGCATCAATCGATTAAATCCAGCACTGTTGGACAGCAAGTTAGTGTGGAAATGACCTAATAGGTTCCAACGGAAGATTAACATTCCTAAAAGATTACTAAGCACAAGGAAAATAATTAATGCTTAAAGAGAAACACCATAAATTGTTGAATTTCAAATATTAATTACACACAGAGCAAGTTCCTAAACTCAGCTCTGAGCTCATCGATGGTGTCTTTCGCCCAGCAGACAGACAGATCAGATGGCATTGATGAATTCAGGGCTAAGTTTAAGAACTTGCCTATACAGACAGAAGGTAAACAAAGATATATGTAGAGTTAATTGAAATATAACAACACTGAAGTTTCATCCAGTGGATCCATTGAATCCTAAAGCCGATGGAACCGCTAAACCATTGGTGATTCAATCGATAAAAAAATGAATGTACTGAATTCTCATTGATTAATTTAGGAACTTTCTCAAATATTTATATGTTGGTAGTACATCATTTTTTTTTTTTTTCAAATTTTTTGAAAATAATCTCAGATTTTAGACAAGTTGTATAAATCCTAATTATTTTTAAAGTCAATGTCATAGTTAATCTCCCTTTCATAAGAATTCCAAATATGTTGAAATTTTTCATGTTCCATAGAATTTGTAGCGAATAATTTACTTTTTACTTTCACTTACCTGTATATGTAATATATAGTACGGGTAAGTATTGCTATCGTGAAAATTATTTAATCTGAGTTTCAACGGAAATACACGTTTTGAGGTCTCCTGATTCCAAATAACCAAGTCCTGCAAATTTGTGTGTGTGTGTGTGCGTGTGTGAACTGTAACTCAAAAACGAAAAGTTTTATGGTATTGAAATTTCGTATATAAAGTTTGTATATGTCTGGAATGTTTCAGCAACTTTTTCGAAATTGGCTAACCGGAAGTGTCACTTTTATATTGTCGATTTTACACATTTTTATAATTTTCTCAAAAAAGGCTCTAATGATTTTGATTAAACTCGACATATCGAAGTATTATTAAGTAATCTATAATGTCATTTAGATCTTATCTCTATTGATGTCATTTAACAAGGCTTAAATGCCCAATGTTCAAAATGTCTTTCTCTAAGTTTTAATTTATTTTATTTAAGTCTAAATTTATTTAACTATCTCTCCATGTTAGGGAGTTATGAAGGAAAAAAAAAGGCTAAATATAACTTTTGAAAGAATTTGATTATTAAATAAAGGAGAAAATAAGAATTATGCTTATCCGGATCGAAAATGAATCTTCGGAAATAATAGTCAAAAGATATAATATATTGTTGGAAAGCAGAGAATTTTAGAAAAAAAAAAAACTGAGGCGTGGGCTTTAGACCACACAATAGAAGTGAAAACATCAACAAGGCAAGATTAATAAAATGAAATATAAATTGTAAATAATAGTTCATGATGAACAGGATGAAATGCTGAACATATTCCCTTGCTTATAGTGCAGGTCTGATTGTTAGTTTCTGAGATATTTTAACCCATATCTCATTATGTTCGCTAAATATCTTAAATATTTTATTTACATTTGCAATTTGACAGTTTATTTGTAGATTTACTGATTTTTAGAGATGAGTTAAATTGTATATACTTTCTGGAAATGTCATATTAATACCTGTTTTATAAACTAAAATATATATGAACTACATATAATGAATAGTTACCGGGTTGTTAAATAAAACTCATATATCACTAATAAAAAAATTAATTTCTTTTTTTTTTTTTTCTTTATTTTGTTTAGTAGTTGGGCCATATCATAACAATACAAAATTTTAATATTGAATGCTTTATTCTCTCTGCACAAAGAAAAATGGAAAGGACGAAGCTATGTGTTCTTCTTGGTAAGCAGAACTAATAGTTAGTATTTGGTATCAAATTGAGGGAAAACACGAAATTGAACCCAAACATTGGAAAAATACATTAAAGGAACGAGGAAGGAATTGCCAAAGTCTCGGAAAAGAAAACAAGGATCGATATCCATTATACGACTGTACGAATATATAGTAGACAGATAAAAAGAATATTTCAAGGAGCTGCTAAAAGGGTGTCAAATACTGGGGCAGTTTGGATGATATTAATGATTATATATATATTTCTTATTAATAATATCCAATATTTAGTATCATGGAATTTTCAGATATTTTTTGTTAAAATTTCTAATATTCGTAGTCCCCAATACATTCATTTCTTTCTTGTAAATAATTATCCAAATGTATTGAAACACAATTTTCATAGTTCTAATTTCCCCAAAAGTTTCATATAAAAGTCATACAGGTTTTTCAAAAATCAATGATAAGGAAATGTTTGTCGAGAACAAAAACTGATGTCATAACAGTTGTTAGCATTCTGTTGTTTTCAGCATTTATCGACAAGTGGCACTGAAGTGATTATGGACTACAACTTATCTGTGCTGACTACTTTTGGTCTAGTACTCTCTTCTCAACATTGGTTGTCTTACTGCTTTTCTGAACCTAAAATTTAATGTTTAAATTTTATTCAGATTTAAGCTTAAATAGGCTTCTGTCAGAACCAAGAACAGAAGCCTATTTTTTTTATATAAGCCTTTTTTTTTATATATATATATATATATATATATGTTGGCCATAAGCACGTCGACCCCTAATGGGTCCATTGTGAGCCAATTTCAGTTGGTTGTTTTATTTAAAACATTAATCCTGTCGCTTCCCCGTATCTTAAGTAGGCTAATTGGATTGACCGACTCATAACTTCTGGGGAGATCCATTTGTTCCTCCCCAAATACCACCAGTCTCAGCCTTGTAAATCATCACATCTGCATATGATGTGAAAAGCTGTTTCATTCTCCTCCTGACAGAATCTGTATAGCGGATTCGTCATTACTCGGAGATTGAACATATGATAGTTTAGCTTACAGTGACCTGTATAGATAGCTGTAAGGG